ATAATAGAGTCCCCAGCCTGCAAGATTTTTTTTTTCTTTAAGTGTGAAACAATAAAGAACTCAGCTTAGAAGAATCACCATGCGTCATCCTTGGCTTTGGGCCCGACATTGGATATTTCATTGAAAACAGGGATAGAAATGTTTTAAATAGCAGTGTTCCAATATCTCAAGGGCTGCCACAAAGAAGAGGGAGTCAAGCTATTCTCCAAGGCGCCTGAAGGTAGGACAAGAAGCAATGGGTGGAAATTAACCAAAGAGAGAAGCAACGTAGAACTAAGGAGAAACTTCCTGACAGTTAGAACAATTAACCAGTGGAACAACCTGCCTCCAGAAGCGGTGCATGCTCCAATACTGGAAGTTTTTAAGAAGAGACTGGACAGCCGTTTGTCCAAAATGGTATAGGGTTTCCTGCCTGAGCAGGACAGGAGGTTGGACTAGATGACCTCCAAAGAGAGAAGCAACCTAGAACTAAGGAGAAACTTCCTGACAGTTAGAACAATTAACCAGTGGAACAACCTGCCTCCAGAAGCTGGGAATGTTCCAAGACTGGAAGATTTTAAAAAGAGACTGGACAGCCATTTGTCTGAAATGGTATAGGGTTTCCTGCCTGAGTAGGAGGTTGGACTAGATGATCTCCAAGGTCCCTTCCAACTTTTATTATTATTATTATTATTATTATTATTATTATTATTATTATTATTATTATTATTATATAGTAACAGTAAAAATCTCTCAAAAACAACTGAAAACAATGTCAGCGGCATGAGACTTACAATGCGGTGGCCATAATCCTAGAGATTTCATACTACCCGCATAAATCGCACCTCTCGTTAATGTCTGCAGGTTTGGGAGTGATAATACTGAACATCTGAAGAAACCCTGTTTGTCCTCTGTGTTCAAAATCCAGGTTTATCTTTTTAATCACTTGATGACTTTCTGGCTCATTTGCAGGGAAAACAACACACAGCCATTGGTTTACTAGTCTCAAGGAGATCTGATATTTTACCCTCTTCTGAGACATTATCAGATACTGTCCATTTCCATTTCTTTTCATGGGAACCCGCCTTGAAGATGGATTTCAAAATTTACAGTGTGAATATTATCTTTTAATTAATGGTTAACATTGCGACAGGCTTCATCAAAAGGCGTCAAAACAAGATACACAGTTCCTGCACGAATTGTGAAAACTGATTTTGCAGAACCAGTGGCAGAAATGAAATAAACATCCTTGTATTCAAGGAGACTTAATCTCCTTGAGTAGAAGATGTACAAAGTGCAACTGTTCTGCTGAGGTCTGGATCCATTGCTCAAGCCACCAGCTGCCCATTTTTTCCTAATAGTCTTTGCTTCATATAGTGCATTGCACAAAGAACCAATTGCAACACACGCTAGGTTGCTATCTCTTTTCCCTTAATATGATGGACCCCTAAATGTTCAATTAATTCACAAACGAGGAAGGATTTATTATAGACTGACCTGGCAGCTTATGTCTGTGCAGATTCTCAGTCATCCAGATCATGGTTGTCCCAAAGGTACTTTTTCAAAAGGCATTCTGAAGAAGCTTCTTGGATGAGAAGCGAAATATCTTCAGGGGAAAACAAGTCCAGTTGCCTTTTGAAAAAGCACCTTTGGGACAACCCAACCCTTTGACTGGTATTGAGTAACAGCAGCCAGAAACCATGGCCTCTGAAGGATCTGGTTTTGCACAGTTCCTTGTCCTGAAGGCAATGGATGGAAACTAACCAAAGAGAGGACTAAGGAGAAATTTCCTGACATTAGAACAATTAAATCAGTGGAACAACGTGCCTCCAGAAGCTGTGAATGCTCCAACACTGGAAGTTTTTAAGAAGAGACTGGACAGTCATTTGTCTGAAATGGTATAGGGTTTCCTGCCTGAGCAGGGGGTTGGACTAGATGACCTCCAAGGTCCCTTCCAATTTTTTTATTATTGATCATCGCACAGTCAGCCAGATGTTCAGACTGAATTTGGCATTTTTGTCTACCTATCGAGTCCTTCCCAAGGACCTGCGATAGGCAGATGTGGATGTTTGGTGGTATTACAGATATCGTCGCAGGATGGAAGCAGTTCCTAGTAAGGCTGCCTTTTGCAATTGACTAATGGCGAATTTGTCAATGCCAATAATGTTCAAGTGGTGCTCCAGTTGTTTTGGGATTGCACCCAAGACGCCTATTACTATTGGTACTACCCTTGCTTGGGTAGTCACAGTCTTTCTATTTCTATTTGTAGGTCTTTGTATTTTGTTATCTTCTCCAGTTCTTTCTCGTCTATTCTGCTGTCTCCAGGCACTGCCATGTCCACTATCCAGACCTTTTTGTCTTTCTTATCGACAATTGTTAAGTCCGGGTGTTATCTTGCAGGTGCTTGTCTGTTTGAATTTTGAAGTCCCAGAGCAGTTTAGTTTTATCATTTTTATTATTATTATTAACCTTTCTCTTTTATTCCCTTGTGCTCATTGTGTCACCCGTTCATAGCCATACACAAACACATACCCACACTCACATAGGTATGTGTGCTCTTTTCTTGAGTCGCTATTTACTCTTAGCTTTAGTCATATTCTTTTGGAATCTTGAATTTCTATTACACTGAAAGTTGATGCTTGCTAAGCCCAGCCCCGATTTATCCTAGAACATGATTAACATGAACTTGCTTTTACCTTTGGTTGAAGCGGCTCCAAGTCAATCTCTTGAGTTTGTCTTGGCTCTGGTAGACATCTCTATTTATTGTCGGAGTTTGTGCTGTACTATTTTAATAAGAATCATTTGTTTGAGATGGGTGGTTATACATATTGAATGAATCCATGCGTGAATTAATGAAGGAATACTTTACACCAGGGGTATTCAAACGTGGCCCTTTTATGACTTGTGGACTTCAACTCCCAGAATTCTGAGAATTGAAGTCCACAAGTCATAAAAGGGCCACGTTTGAAGACCCCTGCCTTATACTCCATTGGTGTTCACATGGACAATTTTTTATTTGGATTGCCACCATCTTTTTATTACTCAAAACAAATTAGGCATCCAGGTGCATAATGATCCTAATCTCTTGAGCAGGTTGATGGAAAGCAAGAGTTCATATTTTTTAGTAGATCAACAAAATCCTTGAGCAATGGATAAATTCCTTGTAAAGGGACATTCTCTCCACTTCCTGTGTCTGGACTATGTATGTAAGAGGAAGAAAAACTTTCTATAGACATTTTGGGCAATACAAGATACTGTTCTCCCGGAAGATCTGGTTGGTGATTTCTCCTTGTTTAAATAGTTTCCCTATCAGCATATTTAATTTTGTTTAAATTGCTGTAAGGCAGGGGTCTGCAACCTTGTGGACTTCACCTCCCAGCACAGCTGGCTGAGGAATTCTGGGAGCTGAAGTCCACAAGTCTTAAAGTTGTCAAGGTTGCAAACCGTTGCTCTAAGGCAAAAGTATTAGTTGTGGAGTGTACCCTTTCAATCTAAGGGTGTATTTACACAATCATGATTGTTACATTATGACTCTGTGGTGTTTATGCCAAGAAACATTTGGTGTTTCTACCACTTTCCGTTGATGGAATTCTGTCTGCAATTAGCCTAGGATTCAGAATCTCTCCCGGGAATATGAACAAGAAAGATTCTCTTAATCTCTGCTGCTGTTCATTTTAGCTAAGAAAACCAGGGCTTGAGCACTGCCTCTAAATTTTTACCTGAAGGGAAAGATAATATTAATTTGATAAACCTGTAAGCTGGAACACAAATGCTTATCAGTTGCAAACAATTTTCGATTATTTTTAGAAGGCGAATATATCGTTAGGATTTTGCTGTGATACCTAACAGACTCATAAAATCATAACAGGTTTTTTTTCCCCTGCTTGCCTTGGCATGCTGCTCAAAATTGCAGTATTTCTAAGTCTTGGCAACTAATTTTTTTTATTTTAATGGTAGGATCAGGACCATCCAATGAAACTGATCGAAAGAAGATTTAGAATAGATTTTTAAAAAGCTCATTTTTCACACAGCACGTAATTTAATCTGTGGAATTTATGAACAGAAGATACGGTGATGACTCCTAATAAAGACAGAAAGAGAGATAAAGAGATGATAGATAGATAGATAGATAGATAGATAGATAGATAGACAGACAGACAGAAAGATAGATCGATCATGATTTCCTACTTTCTAGCTCAATGTCTTAACCACTAGACCAAACTGTCATTCTAATTATGAATGCTTGGCTGTAAAACAAGATTGGATATATTCATGAAAGACAGGTCCATCAAGACTCAGTGTTATGGCTAATTTGGAGGCTGCATGCCCTCAGATACCAGTTGCAGAAAAGCAGTGATAGAAAGGGATATGTAGCAATAGAAGAATATATGAGCTTAGCTGCCTGCTTGCAGATATTTCATTACCACGCTAGGCAACATCTGGCCTGGTAACAAAACGTCTGCAAGCAAACAACCAATCTGGTAGGTTCTTAAATATGAAAAACTTACATTACTTCCCTCTCTCTCTCTCTCTCTCTCTCTGTCTCTCTGTCTGTCTCTCTCTCTCTCGCTCTCGCTCTACCTGTTTTCCCAGTTTGTTTAAATTTGAGAATGCTGGACTTTGAGTGAATTCAGAAATAGTATGATTTTCAGTGTAAAGAAAATATATGGTTTTATTATGATGCTGTAAACTGTCCCGAGTCATGGCGTAGAAATTTAATAAGTAAAGAAATAGTAAGAGAAAACAGTCTGTCCAAGATGTTTTAAAATGTTTGGCAGGATAGGGCTGAATTACCTTTAATTACCTTTAAATATGAGTGCAATTTTTTATGTAACTGTGGGACAAAACAGGTGTTCTCAATCCACTACATTTTGTCCACTTCATTTTCAGTTTTTTTTTTAATATATATCTTGGTTGTATGATGGTTAACTTCTTCAATCTTCTAAATAATTTTCTGACAATTTAATTTTATAGTCTTTCTCTCCCCCCCCCCTTTACTACTTTCAGGGTGTTTTGCTTACCAAATTGCATGAACATTTTTTTTTTAGCTTCCCTTGATGTAATCTTTTAATCCACATTTTTCTTCTTCTTCAGCGGTTTATCTGCAGTAAACCATCCATTTTCAATCTTTCACCTGCTGGTGCAATGAAATGTGTGTGAGCTTAATACAAAATCATGTAGAACATTGCTATTAATTAAGTATGCAAGCTCTAATGCTCGTAGTAGCATTCCAGCAGCAATTAGATTTTATAAGGTCAAATATATACGGTTAGAATTAAGTTGCATCTCCTTGGGGATTCCTCTATGCCATCTCAGTTTTCGGCTAAGGGAGTCTCCCAAATCCATCTACCTTGTTGAATGAGTACAATTAATCCACTAGGAGTCAATTTAGGCAGTATTTGACTTTGCGGCTCAATAGTTAAAGTTTCAGACAAACTCTGCCCACAGCCCGGAGTTTGATCCCAACAGGATTAAAGTTGACTCAACCCACCATCCTTCTGAAGTCAGTAAAATGAGGACCCAGATTATTGGGGGCAATATGCTGACTCTGTAAACTGCTTAGAGAGGGCTGTAAAGCGCAGTGAAGCGGTATATAAGTCTAAGTGCTATTGCCTCTTTTCTATTTCAGAAATCCTTACTTATAACTTGGGCAAAAGTTTACCAGAATGTAAGTTAAGGATCAAGAATCAAGGCATTCCAACAGAAGATGCTATCCTGCATCTTAGCTACTGCCCTTTTTTTTTAGTTCAGTTTTTTATTTTATTCAAAACATTAACACACAAACTCCAAAAAAGAGAGAGAGAAAAGATACAAAAACAAAACACAGCTACGCAAAAAGTGCATCAACAAGACAAAACAAACATATAGATATGTTTATGTATTAGCTGTTGCACTTTTATGTTCTACCATGTACAGTCCCCAAAGCTTATATACTCTAACACTCATGTGTTCATAACCTTTAACTGGGTAAAACAGTGCATTATGGGGCAAAACATTTTCAGCCAAGGGACCTCAAATAGACTAACCTACAGAAAGCTGGGCCCTTTATTCCTGTCGGAAAGACATTTTGGAAAGTTCTTGCTATTTGTGCTAGTTGTCTGTGACTCTTGAAAGCTGTCTTCTCCCCATATGATATAAACTGCGGTCCGCTGCCTTTATAGTGTATTATTATTTTATGAATGTACAACATGTTGTTTGGCCTTGGCTAGCAAAGATAAGCAAGTTGCGATTGTATTGGCGTGTTTTTACACTGGTCTGTAATAAAATAGTTGTGTGGATTCCCGAGTCCTGCATTAGCCTGTTGCTGAATGCCACAGGAGAAAGAAAATGGAGAAACAATTCAACAGTGGCATTTTTTCTGACAGGCAGTTACTCTACTTCCTGGAGGCCATAACAGCATCTAGCAGGTAAAGAAGAATGCACTGGAATGGGACAACTGGAGTAGAAAGTGACTATTGAAAAACAAAGACGGATTGAAAAAAATTAGATAGGTCATTAATGATTCCATGGTAGCTGCATATTTTGCACAAATGGGAAAGTTGGGGGGGGGGAAGGGGAGGAAGAGAGAGAGTGTTTTGCCAATCTAACAAGGCCTGAACCAATTAAAGGTCTTGTTCTGGAAGTGTTTTCTGATTTTTGCATTTATTTTTTAAATCTGTGTTCAAAGCCTTGCAGGTAGATACTTAAGCGCTCTGCTTTAGTTCTCCCTCTTTTTCACCTTTGCAGTAGATAGAAGGCATGATATAAAGGCATCTTCTAAAATAAGCAGCAAAGCCATTTTGTTCCTGCAATTCTTTTCTTTTCGGTCCACAAGAGAGAATAGTTGGGGCCCTACTTTCTCTTAAGACTAGTAGTTGAAAGATTTTGGAAAGTCCCACCATCCTTCCGTCCATCCCTCCATGGAAAGAGGGCCATTTTAACCCTGGAAGATCCCAAGGCCTCTGATCTACAGCTAGGGACCCGGGATTAAAAATGTCTTCATAGCTGTATTTCCTTCTAGCTCTGCATGCTGCAGCATTTTTTTTGTAAAAAAAAAAAAAGCTAGGGGGAGGGGGAGTTATTTTTAAAGTTTTGCATTAACGGCAGTCCCTGTTTTGTTCTTTTGTTGCGTAGAAGTTTGTCCATTTCACTTTTCCCTTTTGAGTTCCTCTTTTTTTCTCCTCCCTTTCTTTCCGGTTTTAGCTTATCACTTAACACAGTTCAGTTGAAATGAGTACGGTGGCCCCCTTCTCAGTGTCAGGGAGCAAGGTAGGTAATGCACTGAAGACTGTGTAATTAAAAAGAGGGTGGCTCTGATATGATTAGTTAATAACTTATCCATCTTAATTTGAACCCAAGTCCAGCAGTGCCCCCCCAAATTATCAGATGCGCTCAGAGCTTAGATAGATCAAGAGAATGTTTTGATTATAAGCCATCGTATCTTTTCTTCCTTACTTCCTTCCTCCCTCCCTCTCTGTTTTCATTAATTATGAAACTTTAAACAGCTATTACAATCTCAATTTAGTAGATTTATGATGAGGATATATAAACAGAATGGCTTGTATAAAGTCCAGAGACATGATTATTTGGGAATTTATGGATATTGTTTATTTTCTGAGCTGATAGTCATTCTTCCGAAGGAAGGAGGGGTGGGTCTATAAATGAAACAGCTGATTTCTACCAAAATTGGCTAATGGAGTCAAATTGCTTAGTGTTTTATGAGAAGAAGAATAAGTGCAATCTGTAATGGGGTTCTTGTGGAAAAACAAAGCAATTAGTAAGTTTCTTAGGTATACTTTTCAAAGATACACAGATTCCAGGCAGCTCCGTATTCTGCTCCGTCAGGTTATTTATCTTTGTGCTCAAACTTTTCTGATCTGTCTATGGAACTATTTTGATAGTTGTTGTCCCCCCCCTTTTTTTTTTACAATATGTTTGCATCACATGCAAGGCAAGTTATATTTTGCTCAGCTGTGAGTTGGCTGCCTCTTATGCTGTTGCTATTTGCCATGTTTGAAGAGGGGGATTTTAAACTAGATATGTATATATGAAGATATGAGAGAAATGTAATAGAGCAGCATAATAATTTTAGGCTGAAGGTGTTTGCAGAGCTGGGTGTGAAACAGGGATGCAAAACCTGAGGCGCTCAGGTGTGGCTGAATTCAACTCTCTGCTCACTATGAGGTGTTGGGAATTGTAGATCAGAAACATAAGGAGGTAGGGCTTTTCCATGCCAAGGATATCTTGCACTGAAGGTTGAAAGTATAAAAGCAGCTGATAAGACACAGACTGTTGTGTTTTTGTTTGGGTTTAGAGGAATCTTCTGAAAATGTCTACAAAGTTTGGTTTTGTGATGTCAAGTTTGCAAGGACAAATAACCAGCTTTTACAAGAAGGCTCCTTTCTCACGGATTGATGGAGTGATTAAGAGCCATCAAATCAGTATCACCTCTTAGCATCCACATAGATCAATTTCCTCCACGATGATCTATTCCTAAACCTGGTGTTTCTGGTCTTCCAATGGTTCCTTCATCATCTCCGTAACTCAGTCTATCCACCCTGCTGATAATCACCCTCTTCTTCTCTTTCCTTCTACCTTTCCCACCATAAAGGCCTTGCCAGAAAGCTAGGTCTTTGCACGATGTGTCTGAAACAGGATATTTGGAGTTTGATCATTTGTGCCTCAAGTTCAGTCATCCCATTCTCAGGGATAGCCTTCAGGAAATAATTATCATTTGCCCACTTTTTTTTTTTATATACTTGTTTCCTTGCCTGTGTGTCATTGTGACCCCGATTGCTCTATTGGCTGAGTGTCCTCAACAAGTTAGGTTAATTTAAAATACAGTTGGATAATTTTCAATTTATCATGTTGACACCATGAGCCTATTGTTGTTGGCTGTGTTGTGTAAGCAGGATATGACATATGCCTGAAAACGACTGATTGTCCTTGACTTAGAATTAGGACCAGAATTTCTGTTGCAAGGCAGTCGTTGAGTGAGTCACACCCATTTTACAACCATTTTTTGTTACGGTTGTTAAGTGAATCACTATACTTGTTTAGTGAATCCTGTGGTCATGAAAAGAATCAGATTTCCCCCTTCACTTGTCAGGAGCCAATTGGGAAGGTCACAAATGGGGATCACGAGACCCTGGGAAGCTGCAACCGTCGTAAATGCATGCCAGTTGCTAAGCAATCAAATTTTGATCAGGTGACCCTGGGATTTGATGCTGCGACAGTCGTAAGTGCAAGAACTGGTCATAAGTCACTGCGTTTGTCGAGAAGAAGCCAAATAGAGATGGGAAAGGAAGATGCTATTTCCTGCTGCTGCTGCTGCTGCTACTGCTACTACTACTACTACTACTACTATTACTATTACTACTACTACTATTACTACTACTAAAGTTGGAAGGGACCTTGGAGGTCATCTAGTCCAACCCCCTTGCTCAGGCTGCCCAGTCTCTTCTTAAAAACTTCCAATGTTGGAGCATTCACCATTTCTGGAGGCAGATTCTAACTGTCAGGAAATTTCTCCTTAGTTCTAGGTTGCTCCTCTCCTTGATTAGTTTCCATCCGTTGCTTCTTGTCTTGCCTTGTCCTGCCTTTGGAGAATAGCTTGACTCCCTCTTCTTTGTGGCAGCCCCTGAGATATTGGAACACTGCTATCATGTCCCCCCTCGTCCTTCTCTTCATTAAACTAGACATATCCAATTCCAACAACCATTCCTCATATGTTTTAGCCTCCAGTCCTCTAATCATCGTTGTTGCTCTTCTCTGTACTCTTTCTAGAGTCTCAACATCTTTTTTACATTGTGGTGACCAAAACTGGATGCCGTATTCCAAGTGTGACCTTACCACAGCATTGTAAAGTGGTATTAACACTTCACGTGATCTTGATTCTATCCGTCTGTTAATGCAGCCCAGCACTGTGTTGGCTTTTTTGGCCACTTAATCACACTTTCCAGCTGCTGTCCTTCAGAGAGATTAAAACCGATCTTTTCTGCATTTGGGCATCTAGAATAGAATGAGTCAAAGAGGTTTTATAATTTGGGGCAGACTCTCTCTCTCTTTCTTTTTTTAAAAATAATAATAATAACAATAATAATAAAATCAAGCCCAAACTGATTAAACTGGACAGGAGGTTTTGTATTGTTTATCAGAACCGAGGAATGCATTTTTGTCGGCTTTCAATGCACAGCCTGGGAATAGAAGTGAGTTCGGCATAGGTGTGTTCAAGAGTAAACACTGGGAAGTGGGCAGGGAAGCTACATTTTCTATTTTGTGAGATGAGCAAGACCAAGACACTGACATTCACAGGGAATCAGGAAAGAGGTAAGTTCTGCTCTCTCAGAAGAGTTGGAATGCAGAAACTTTATTCATTCCTGGAGAAGGCGGCCAAGAGAAAGGTTTATTTCACTTCTTTCTTCTCACCCGGATGATTGAAACAAAAGGAAAAAAGTGGATTGTCCTCAAGTATGCAGTCTGCAATGTACATACCTGTTGTTTTGTGGTTTAATTTTTGTGAGTGTGTTCAGTGGTGGCCAAATGTTTCTGGGTTTCTTGATTATGGTTGAGATCTTCCTTTAAAATTTGTTTATTGTGAAAAATTAGAATGCACTTCTTTGTACGGTTCTTATTTTTTTTTTCTGCAAAAAGAGAATGTTTTTCAGTGAATTTAGGGGCAAGGGATGGAAGCTAAACTTTTCCTATGGTTAACTGTAGAGAAATAGTATTTTGTTTCTGAAAAAACAGGGAGAATAGAAAATGTCTTTTGGTTTATTTGTTGAGTGTGTGTGTGTGTGTGTACACACACACACACACACACTCAATAACAGAAACGACAGACTTTGTCAAATGCAAACGCATGTAGTTGCGTGATCCAAGCTGGAAATAAATAAATATATATTGGAGCATAGAGAAATAATGTACAAAAAGACCATTAAATGTACTAGCTGACCATTTGTTCATAAATCTTCAGAAATGTTCCTTTTGAGTTCAGTCTTGCACCTAAATGAAACTGAGCAAATATTGATTGGGTTTTGCAAGAATATTTACAATTTGTGCATCTATTTACCATCGTTTTCATCCTTCATCAAAACTTGAACATGTTCTGCATACATTGAAATGCTTTATATATATATATATATATTAAAAAAACCATATTTCTCTTTATGTTTAAGAATTTTCTAAAATTCTTAACCCTAATTTAATTTCTAATTCGTAGTGTTAATTTTTATATGATGTTTTATTTCTCGTACACTGCCCAGAGTCTCTCCATGAGGGAGATGGGCAGTTTAGAGTTATGAAATATAAATAAATAATAAATCTATCTTTTTATTATTGTATAAATAAATAAATAAAATATAAATAAATCTATAATTCTGAGCAAGAGGAAAGGAAGGAAAAATACCTGAAATGTCAACAAGCAATTGTAGCAATATACTTTTTTTCCCCACGGCTAAAAGTTTTATCATATTTCTGTTTTAACACATTCATTTTATATATTCAATTCCCCCCCCCCCAATCTGTAATAGCTTAATCACATGCTGTTGCAATCCATCTGTTGTGTTTTCAGTGACCTACATGGGGAGGATATGTCCCAACTCTTTGCATTTGTTCCTGTGTGCGATGAGATTTTTAACAAACATCTGCTTTTTCCAGGTAATTCCTGATGTTCGCCATGAGAGCCTCAGTTGCAAGACCTTTCCATACCTGCTGATAAAAATGATCAACAAGTCCCGTAAGTCCACCCTCCTTGTCTTTTTCTTTCTGCGTGGCATACCGTTTGCTGATCGGAAAATAAAATATTTCAAATTTTACAGGGGCAAAAGGGGAAATGAAAGAAAGTACGGTCTTGAATCTTCAAGGCGAAACCACAAAAACAGTTTTTGTGCAGCAATTTTTAGAGGCCAGTTTTCTATAAGCCATTTATAGTCAATGTTCAAGGAAGATGTTGGTCAATAATTTCTTGTTCAAACCAGATCCAGAGTCTCTTTGGATACAGCAACAAGTTGTTGATTTATGACAACAGTTGAGCTCAATATTCCCATTACATATAAGACAGCTGAGTTTTGCCCTATTTCACAACTTTTCTTCCACACTTGTTAAATGAATCGCTGTAGTTGTAAAGTTAATAACATGGTTGTTAAGTGAATTTGGCTTCCCCATTGAATTTGCTTGCTGGTGATCATGCGATCCTGATCACACGAATCATAAATGCATGCCCGTTGACAAGTGTCCGAATTTTGATTGCATAATCATGGGGATGCTGCAACGGTCATATGTGCGAAAAATGGTCATATCACTTTTTTTTCAGTACTGTTGTAGCTTTGGATGGCCATTAAACTAATGGTTATAAGTCAAGGGCTTCCTGTCATTGTATATTAGTCTTTTTATAGCTGTCGGGAAGTTTTTCATTCTGTAAAAGGATATTCATCATTTGTTGTAAAGGTTGCAAAAGTTTATCCTCTAAACATTTATAATAAGAGGTGGGCAGATTATTGGCACCAGGTTGGCCTTTCCTGTTTTACTCTTTTCAATAGCTTCACAAAATTTGCCCTTGACTTTCTGTGATCTCCAGTAAATTCTGTTTATGTAAATATTTCATCTGTTCTTCCAAAGGAAAACTCTTTGACTTTTACATAAAGTAGAATAATATTGGTGGAGCCCCCTTTGCATAGTTGCATTTTTAAAAGACATCTAAAACAAATAATTGTTTGTTTGTTTTTTAAATCACTGATTTCAACCAAGATTTTTCTTGGCTGCTTCGATTGTTTGAAGTACACTGTACACTGGGAGAGCAACACAGTGCCAGTCACCAGTTAGGTTAGTGGTTTTCAAGACCTTTGTGGAAAATTCCCCAAAGAACCCAGGTGGTGGTTTCAATGTTCTGAAATTTGGATTGTTGAGTTGTACCCAAAAGGTTGCACAATGAAAAGCAGCTTTTCTTCTCCATCCATGAAAAGTGTTTCCTGAAAACTGAAGGTGATGCCAAGGTCGTGTATTGTTTGAATGGTGTCACATGAAATTACAAAATGAGACAGAGCTCCAGGTGGCTCAGCTCTGGCAGTCTAGTTCTGTCTGGCGTGGCCTACCTGGGTCCTGATGAATTGTCTTGAGTTTAACTTTTAGGAGGGAGAGAAAAGGGAATGCTTAATTACAAGGACTCCTCAACTTATGACAGCCTAATGACTGCTCAAAACTACAATAGACCACAAAAAGGGTATTTATGACTCCTGACCCCCCCTCCCTGCAGTCACATTTGTTTGTTTGTTTGTTTATTTAGGGTGCCTGGGAACTGGCTCGTATTTCTGGCTAATTGCAGCATCCTGTGGTTAACACGAGTATAATTTGCAAATGTGTGTTGCCATTGTCCAGCAGAAAATGGGGGGGGAGTCAATTGGATAGGCTGGATTAGTTTAATAACCATGTGAATCACATGGCCATTAAATGAATTCAGCATATCAAATTAGTGGGGGTTTTCTTGCCATTTTCGGCTGTACAATGGCAGCAAGCATTGCAAATCACAATCACGTGACCACAGCGACTTTACAACTGTTGTGTAAATGTGACCACCAGGGCTCTCTTTACAAAATCGAGTCTGGTTACGTGCTTCGACTTACAAAATCAACAATGTACGATTGAAATTCCGGGCTCCATTTTGGTCGTACGTCAAGGCTCCATTTTGATCATAAATCAAGAAGCTAAGCAGACTTCACGCTGGTTAATATTTGAATGGGAAAGCACCAGAATGTTCCAGGATTAGACTGGGAAGTCAAATAAATAAATACAAGTCTCAGAAGAGGCACTGACAAGTCACTTATTTTCATATTTCTTAGCTGCTCATATCCCTCAGAGAGGAGCTTTTACACATTTGTTGTCAAGAAACTATGTCTGTGTATAGTAGTCAAGGAGTTGTATTTGTATCAAAAATCATATCTAAGTTTACTAAAATGCAATCAGATAGATTAGTTTACTTCTTAGCTGATTAATTACCCTCTTATGATCTTTGTTTCAGCATCTCAGATTCTCAGATTTATTTGCTCTGTGGCAGCTTTTTTGTTTTCTTCTGGGTTATTGTGATAGGATCAAGTAATGTACCTTGTGTTCCTTTGTAGAGAATCTGAAAAGACGTAAAAAAAACAAACTTGTTTTTTAAAATTATCTACTTGGTTGTTTAAGTTCAAAAGGAACTTAAATATGTGAGGTGCGGTACCCAAATTTGGATTCTTTCAAAGAGCATGGGAGAATTTGCAGTAAATTTTTCATAAGCATTGCCATGTTGGATTGGATCCCTGGAGCTCATCTAGTCCATCGTGGTCAGTTTCACAGTAAACCATCAGTCTCCCGGCAGATGGCCTTCTTAGGCAGTCACATTCATCAAGACTAATAGCCATTGATCCTCAGATCTTCTATAGCAGGAGTCTTCAAATTTGGCTCTTTTATGACTTGTGGACTTCAACTCCCAAAATTCCTCAGCCAGGTTCTGTACATTGGTCCAATGTTGTTCCTTCTTTTTTTTTCTTCTGAAAGCAGTCTAGGTATTAGCTAGCATCACATCACACAGTAGCAAATTCTCAAGTTAAATTATATATTGTGTAAAAGAATATCTCCTTTTGTTTGTTCTGATGCTTCCAAGATTCAATTGCATGAGTGGTTCTATTGTCTGTGGAGGCTCTCAGTCAGATCATGATTGCCCTGAAGGTGCTTTTCAAAAGACAACTGGACATTCTTTGTTTTTCCCCCTAAAACAGTGGTTCTCAACCTTTCTAATGCCGTGACCCCATAATACAGTTCCCCATGTTGTGGTGACCCCCAACCACTTATACATCACTGGGTGCCAGGGGCGTGGGCAAAGAAAAGGGGGGAAAATGGCGGACAGCCTTGTTTGGCGACCCCCGTGAAATGGTCGTTCGACCCCAAATGGGGTCCTGACCCACAGGTTGAGAACCACTGCCCTAAAAACATCTCGCTTCTCATCCAAGAAGCTTCTTCAGTTCTGCTCAGTTCAGTTGAGAACCGAAGAAGCTGCTTGGATGACAAGTGTAACGTTTTCAAGGAAGAAAGCCAAGAAAGTCCAGTTGCCATTTGGAAAGCTCCTTTGGGAGAAGGATTCTAGTATTTTAGAAAGGGGAAAACATCTTCTGCTTGTTCACTTTATCCATACTATGCTTAATTTTGTACGGTACATCTCAATCATGTCCTCCTTCTAGACCAGGAGTGTCAAACTCAATTTCATTGAGGGTTGCATCAGCATTGCGGTTGTCCTCGGGGGGAGGGTAGGTGTGGCCAAGGTGGGCATGGCTGGAGTAGGTGTGGCCTACTGGGTGGGAATGGCCAGCTCTACATTGTTTACGTCAAGGGTGCCTGTGGGGGCCTGAGCAGGAGTGGGACAGATCTGAGGGTCTGTGGCAGAAAGGGTTGAGACCAGGCCAAGCGCCAAGGCATGGTCCACTGGAAGAGCCTGCTGAAACCCCAAGTAGGCTAGGGCCATTTGCTAGCCACTTCCAGGCGATGGTGCATTTCTTCATTCCTCACAAAGGCTGACACCTCCCAAGCAGGCACTCGGGGCGGGACTAACGCGGCAGGGGCTGGTTCTTCGCTGTTTCTAGATGGCCTTGTGAAGCTAAGACTGAATGCGTTTCAGCATAGATGGCCACCACAAAATTGTACATTGGCTCCTGGGCGGCCTGGGCCGGGGCCAAGGCAGCAGGGGCCGTTCCCTCACTGTTTCCAGGATGGCTTCGCGGGCCACATGAAACCACATCATGGGCCTCATCCGGCCCCCGGGCCTTGTGTTGGACATGTCTGCTCAAGACTAAAAACCTTCACTTATTACAACCTTTCCTCCCTGAGAAACTTCTCCAGCCCTTTGATCATCTCAGTTGTCCTTCTCTGAACCGTCTCTACTTCCACAATGTCCTTTTTGAACGTGAGCTTCCAAAAATTCCTTAAAAGCAGACTCTTGCGGGTAATTCACTGCACTAGCCTTGACTGCTGTAATAATATTAAGTTCAGCAAGTGCATGTGTTATATCATTCTTTTTTCTTTCCTGAACAGCTGGAGTTCTTTTATTGCTTCTGTTGTTAAAATGTGTGGAAAAATCATATCTTATTTCCTTGCTAAATGCTAAGAGAAACAAAGGGGGGGGGAAGCATTTAAAAACAACAGAACACATTTTGTTTGCTAAAGGAAGTAACTTGGAATATTTGACTGCTGATATTGGGGATTAGAAGGAAAAGGCTTTAATAAAAATATTGACTTAATTGATGAAAAGGCAAGTGGTTTTTATAATCGATAGATTATCCTGCTTAGTACTAGAGGAAGAACATTCTAGTAGTGTTCGGAGCAGATCTAGATCACAAACCATCACAACTAATAGCCAAATTTCAAGTCACACGTATTGTACTACATTGATAAGTCATCGGAAAGTAAGAACAATGGGTTAGCTAGCTCCTTAATCAATTGCTGAATATCAAATGTGCTAGCAGTACTTAATCCAGGTAGCCCTTGACTTACAACCTTTTGTTTAGTAACCGTGCAAACTTACAATGCCGCTGAAAAATGCGACTTATGGCCGTTTTCACAGTTACGACCTTTGCAGCATTCCCGTGATCATGTGATCAAAATCCAGATGCTTTGGCAACAGATTCCTATTTATGATTGTTGCTGTGTCCCAAGGTCATGGGATCCTCTTTTGCAACCTTCTGACAATCAAAGTCAATGGGGAAACCAGGTTACCTTAACAAGTTTGGTTACTAATTTATCAACTCCAGCAATTCACTTAAGTTAAGGACCCCTGATCTAAAGTCTTGGCCCAGCAAACTAAGCTGACTTTGTACATCTTCTCTTTCTCCTTTTTACTTTCTGTGTGGTGCCTTTGTGAACCCAGTCTATTAGGTTTAGTTGATGTTGCAATCCACTATTCAAAGCCAGAAAATGGATTAACCCAGTTAAGTCTGTTCTGCAAATTCTGCCAGTATGGAGTATTTAAAGGAGTTAATTTGCTAGGTCCTGCATAATCTTCTTTTAAATAGGTTGCTTAACTGATCTTCCTGGATCTCCAGAGCAACTTCAGTTCTGACCATCTGCTCAGTTTTCTTTTCCTGCCCTGTGATTTATAGAATTAATAGTAGATACACAGCTGTAGTGTTAGCAAGTGGGTGTCATCCAAATAAAATTAGGTTCTCTGTTCTCGACATTGTAGAGAAATGAGAGTAGAGTCAAGTGTTGTTGTTTTTTTATCTTTAAAAAAATATATCTCAAAACCAGGAGAGCAAGAAGTGTAGAGGCTATAAAATTAAGCTATACTTTTCTTTGGCTTACAGACGTACTTTTTTATTGGTTCAAAAATATCAGTGGAAAAGTACATAATAATAATAATAATAACAACAACAACAACAGGTATCTGTTGTCAGGAAATTCCTCCTTAGTTCTAGGTTGCTTCTCTCCTTGATTAGTTTCCATTCCATTAGTTTTTGTCTAGGCCAGGGGTAGGCAACCTTGGCTCTTTTATAACTCGTGGACTTCAACTTCCAGAATTTCTGAGCCAGCCGTGCTGAGGAGAAAGGGAGAGGTTTCCAAGCTGAGCCATGCTGGCTCAGGAATTCTGGAAGTTGAAGTCCACAAGTCATAAAAGAGCCAAGGCGGCCTACCTCTGGTCTAAGCATTAGATTTAGATTTATTATATTTATATTTATATATATACATATATATTTATTTTCTGAGGTTTTCGCGGGTATTTGTATGTAGGTCTTTGGTTGTTCGGGTTTTCTCCCACGTAAAATTGGAAGTGTCTTGGCGACGTTTCGACGAAGTCCCATTCGTCATCTTCAGGCTGGTGCTTTCAGCTTCGTGCTTCATTGCTGCTCAAAGCACGAAGCTGAAAGCACCAGCCTGAAGATGACGAATGGGACTTCGTCGAAACGTCGCCAAGACACTTCCAATTTTACGTGGGAGAAAACCCGAACAACCAAAGACCTACATATATATTTATATTTATATATAGATTAGATTTATATATTAGATCCATTTTTCCCTCTCTGAATACCAAGCAATACCCCAAACTTTGCTTTCCTTTCTTATCGAAGGAAAGAACGTCCATCTGTTCATCTTTTTCAAGATAGCTCAAAGCAGAAATAACATCAGCTCAGGTACCCTCATATTTTTTTTTTCTCCTTTTATGCTCACAGCAAAAAAGGATGAGATACAGGTAATCCTCAACTTATAACCAAACTGAGCCAAAATTTCTGTTGCTAAGAGAGACCGGCATTAAGTGAGCTTTGCCCCATTTTACGACCTTTCTTAATAATAATAATAATAATAATAATAATAATAATAATAATAATAATAATAATAATAATAATAATAATAATATGGTTGGAAGGGACCTTGGATGTCATCTAGTCCAACCCCCTGCTCAGGCAGGAGACCCTATTCCATTTCAGAGAAATGACTGTCCAGTCTCTTCTTAAAAACTTCCAGTGTTGGAGCATTCACAGCTTCTGGATTCACAATCGTTTAGTGAATCACTCAGTTGTTAATTTAGGAACACGGATGTTCAATGGCTTCCCCCATTGATTTTGCTTGTCAAAAGGGGATCATGTGACCCTGGGACACTGCGACCATCATAAATAGGAACCAGTTGCCAAGCATCTGAATTTTGATCATGTGACCAAGGGGATGGCACAACTGTCGTAAGTGTGAAAAAGTCATTTTTTTCAGAGCCATTGTAACTTCAAGCGGTCACTAAACAGTTGTTAGTTAAGGACTACTGTATGCTGTTTTCCTTAGCTGCAGTGTTTGTCCTGTTATCTACATTGTGTTTGGCCTTGATTACAACAAGATTGGAAGTATGGTTTCTTTTGCTGGTTTGAGCTATCCAGTTTTAAACGTAACTTCATTCCAAAGTGCAGAGAGAGTAGTAGGTACAGGTGCTAGAAACTTAGAGTTAGTAGAAGCGTACAAATGCCATGATTGATCTCTTTCCCAATACCTATTTTTTTTTGTTGGTTGGTTGTTTTTTTATTTTAATGGAAAGCATTAATGTTCAGAATATTGAAAAGACCTGCCCACTCTCATTTGTTCATTTGTTCATTCATTCAAATTTATTAAACTAAATCTCCTCCTCTCTTCCATATTTTATGGTTGAAAGATTCCTCTGTTGAAGGACTCGGGCTTAACATCTCTCCTACTTTTTTCTTTGCTCAGGATGGAAGATACTTGGAGTATTGGCTGTATTTTTGCTGATGGTGTGGTATACGATATCCCGGGAAGAAAGGTATATACAGCTGTGAGTGTATTTCTTAAAAAAAAAAAAAAAGGATATAGGAAGTTCATTATTCCTTACTTTGTCTCTTTAGTTAGATGGACAACGCTAACTAGAAGTCACTTTTCAGAATTTTGAACCTGTGTGAGATACACACAGACACACAGAGAGAAGAGGTTGGGCTATAAGTAAGCAAGATTTTTGTTCTGAATCCTTATTGTTTATTGGTCCCTTTTTATTACAGCTTGAAAGTGAGAACTATACCTATATACACAACATATTGGCTCAAGGCAGAATATATAGCATTCTGTCCTACTGTCCCCTAATCTCAATAATTACACTATGAGGTAGATTAAGCTGAGAGAAAGTTGCTGTCCTAAGGTTCCTCCGCATAGAAGCTCACACCCAGCTTCCATGGCCGATGATGGGTTTGAATTTGAAATCTAACACATTTACCTTTCTACTTTACTTCACTGACTCTTGGGCCGAGAGAGGATCTAGCTCAAAATCATCAAGTGAACCTCTGCTACTGAGAAGGGACTTGAATCTGGGTCTCACTGGGCCTAGTTCAACACCTTCGCCTGTACACTACAAGAAACACATGATCCCACATAAATCTGTTGAAACACAAAAGTAGTGATCTTATTCAGGATGTTATATCTCGCCTCCTAAACCACAGTGTGAGATAATTGAGGACAGAACCTGTGAAGACCATCTCAGTGCTGTCTATGGAGTCATCCTGCTCACAGTTGTCCCAAAGATGTTTTTGCAAAAGGCAACTGGACTTGGTTTTTCCTTGAAGACATTTTGCTTCTCATCCAAGAAGCTTCTTCAGTTCTGAACTGAAAACAAAGTCCAGTTGCTTTTTGAAAAAAAAAAAAAAAGCACGTTTGGGACATCTCAGTGCTGTTACACCTGTTAGGTAACGTTCTAGATTGGGACTATGTGACCATTTAAAAAAAAATAGAATAAAAAGCAAACAGTTTTTAAAAAGTGATATAATCATTCAATTATTTAATTTTAAATATATATTTTTGTTCAGCCATGAGTTTTCCATGGATTTTCGATGTGAGATCTATACAGTCCATCAATGGCCTTTTCCCACAGTGGGCTTTATGTTAGATGTACATTCCACTTTTCCTCAAGTAGCCGTGCTTCATCTTGTGTCACAATAAAATTATACAGAAGTGTACCAGCTAGTCCAATAATACCATTTTGCACACTCTGTGTAATGGGCAGAAGTCACAGGAGAAAAATCACAAGGCTATTGTGAAATCAAAGAAATTGGAATCTGAGCCAGATATATAATTCAAAATAAGCCTCTCAGAAAAGGCCCTCTTTAGTTTTAATGACAATAAAGGGAGGGATGGAAGAAACATGTTCAGTCTTGCAAAATAAATACAAGCCTTGGAGGTAGTCTAGAATAGATCAGAACACTATAACACTACATTTCTTGTGAGGTTATAATAACAGAAATCTGCAAGTCTTAATATACTTTACCCCTCCCTGCCTTTGTTCCAGATAACTACAAAGGATTAATTCTGAGATCCTTATTCACATACCTGCTGTAGAATCATATTTTGTTTATCAGACACAGTCCATTATGGATTTCGTTACTATAACCTTGTCATAAAAAATTATACTGGCTTGCAAGTGACTTTGCTTTTCTAGTCTTATCTATCTTGCAAGGCTGACACCAAGAATTTGCTTCTTATCAATTGAAGCAGAAAAATAATCATAGTGAACGCCCTTTTTTTTTTTAAAAAAAAACAACCCAATTTTAGCAAAACGTTGTTTGGAATTGCTTGTGTCCTTAGGCACTACCTTAATACTTCTTAAGTCTTTGGTTAGGATTTGAATTATTTAGTTTTCATCAATCTTAGATTGTGAATCTAACTATAGATTAATGCTACTACTAGTACTACTAGTACTGCTAATAATAATAAGACTGGAATCATTAAATTTCTACCAGTCTTAACCTATGAATCTAACTGCAGATTGTTAACAACAACAACAATAATGTCACTTTCTTCCTCCTTGCCATTTGTCTTCCAGTTTTGATTTTCACTTTCAAGATGAAAAGATGACTTGTCCTGTAAAAGAGATAGAAAAGAAAGCTGCACAACTGATATCAAAGTGAGTAACAGAGCCTGTTGTTTGCTAGAACAATAACAATAATATAAAGTTGGAAAGGACTTTTGAGGTCTTCTAGTCCAACCTCCTGCTCAGGCAGGAAACCCTATACCATTTCAGACAAATGGCTGTCCAGTCTCTTCTTAAAAAATTCCAGTGTTGGAGCATTCACAACTTCTGGAGGCAGGTTGTTCCACTGGTTAATTGTTCTAACTGTCAGGAAGTTTCTCCTTAGTTCTAGGTTGCTTCTCTCCTTGATCAGTTTCCACCCATTGCTTCTTGTCCTGCCTTCAGGCGCTTTGGAGAATAGCTTGACTCCCTCTTCTTTGGGGCAGCCCTTGAGATATTGGAATACTGCTATCATGTCCCCCCTCGTCCTTCTCTTCATTAGATTAGACATACCGAATTCCAGCAACCGTTCTTTATATGTTTTAGCCTCCAGTCCCCAGATCATCTTTGAGAAGAATGATCTATTTAATTTTCCTGAACTTCAAGGGGGAAGGAATGTTGTGGGCCCCAGAAGTGTTGCTAAACAAGAAAGGAAAGATAAAAGTAGAGAAGCTGTCAACGGTCTCTGAATCATATCTTCATCTTTTCTTTCTTGACTTCAGTTACACACGGGAACCTCCACTGTTTTTACAGCTAAAGGACTATTTTTGGGAGAAAACCCCCTCACTTTATGAACTGCCTTATGGTACGAAAGGAGCAGGTAAGCAAACAATACGTCTCCTTCCCTTTCTCCCTCCTCCTTAACATAACGCTTCTATTTTTATTTTATTTTATTTATTTTTTTATTCTAGTTTATTTTTATTTTGTTGGACATTTTTCACCCTCCTTTGTTAATGGCTTTGTTGGAATGATGGCTCAACATATTAAGTTTCATTTGCCCGGCATGTCTGAATCTGATGCAGAATATGGGTTTTGTTTTGTTTTTTTGGTAATTTTGTCCTCCTCTAAATTTCTCCAAGATCCACTCTATCATCTATTTTTATCAAATTTTAATAGTTCATAGTGTAAGATGCAAAGAAAATGCAAAAGTAAATAGTAGGAAAGATAGGGAAGGGGAAAGGGAAGAGAAAAGTGGTGGAAAGCAAGGAGAAAAAAGAAAAAAAATACATTGACTTCCAATTTCCTTTGATGCAGTAAAATAGAACATTAACATCAAACCTCAAATTTTTACTTTTATGTAATAGTATAAACTAGCCATTCCGATAACAACAAATCTATCTAATCAGAAAAGGCCAAAATCAAAATTTCATTTTTTTCCACCTCAAGCGCAAAGTCCAGAAGCGGTTTCCACGTAGAAATAAAAGTACTTGTATTTTTGTTTTCTTTAATCAAAACAGTCAATTTAGCCATCTCTGCTAGTTCCGCCAGTCACATGGTAGATCAATGTGACCTTCCATTTTTGAGTGTAGAGTAGATCCACTCTTATCATCTCCAGATGATCTCCAGGCAGATCCACAATGACATAGCTTCCCACAACGGAGTTGCATTTGATGTCTTTCTTTTCAGATTACACACTCAACAGCTGTTGAACAAGACATTCAAGCCATTGTTTAGTGGCTCTCCTCTGCTTACTCTATCTAGGTTTGTTTGGTATTAACCATTATGGCAATCGGAGTAGACTTGATAGGTGTTGGAAAGGAAGGATGGAAGTGAAGGAAGAAATAGATAGTTATACTCCCTTGCTTTCTGTCTCTCCCTCCCTCCCTCCCTCCCTCTCTCTCTCTCTCTCTCTCTCTCTTTGGGTGACCTTGCCCAGAGAACCCTAGGAAGAAGGAAATGTCAAATCACTTTCAACATTTTACCAAGAATACTGTATGGATTTGTCCAGGCAGTTGCCGGTAGTCAAAACTGCCTCAAAGATATCACTCACCCAACATCCCCCACCCCCCAAAAAAATTGAGATACAAGTTTAAAATACCTTTGAGCCAGAAAAAAGATTATTTTTTAAAAAAATTCAGGAACAGTTATTTCAGTTCCTTCACCAGTATTGCTGTGGTCATGTTCTGGAGTCTTTCTGCTGAAAAGCTAGTCTCCTAAAAATAATTTTTCATCGCAGGACAAAGACAGAAGTTATACAACTGGGCGATTCCATTTGTATCTACGATGAAATCATCCGTTTAAAAGAAATCTCCATATTAATTATTTCAGCTGCATGACCCTTTTAACTTCATTGGTTTTGCTCCAGTAGACAAAAGGTTCAGTTGACAGTAATGCACTAGATAAATTTTTGCTGCACATGAATGGATCCATTATAAAGTTGCTCTTGGCTGGTATTTCAACCATGATAACAACACAAAGGAAAGTATTTTGTTTCCAACTTCCCCACACTGAGATATAACATCAACATCACCAAGTTGGTTACAGTACTCAAAAATGACAGATAATCCATTAAACGTTATTTGTCCAGGAAGAGATGAACTCTAAAAACTAAACACAGTTCAAGGATTTTTATACAAAAAAGGACAGTAATATTTCCTAATCTGTGTCTCTCTTTGTGTTAGACAAAACTGCCATTGTATACAAAAATCACTTAATGAAAAGTCTATTCTGTTACAAAATGTGTTGGCTTCTGCTTATTAATCACTGGAGTCTTAGCTTTATTTCTTTTATGTATTGATTGGGTGGTTCTCTCAAATTTCCAGTGCAATCATTAATGACAAGCAAATAGCATTTTCCTCACAATAATACTGCACACAACGTGTTTTAAAAAGCTGAACTTTATTTTATTTTATTTTATTAAATTATTTAGTAGCACAGATCTCTTTTGAAATGTGTTAAATACCAGCCAAGTTTGAAGCAAGAAAAAAAAAACTGTTAAGAAAGGACATGTAATTTATTCTTATTACCTTGATGACATTTTCATCTTCCAGAAGGGAAAGAAAAGGAACAATAGAAGCAGCTATCCTTAGACATTTGATTAACCAGGAAAAATTGTAATTGTAAAATATAAACCTTTGGTCGAAATGATAAGGTTAGCTTGAGATTTATGGCACTCAGACATTCAACTCAGACATTCAGATTTAAGCACGTTCAGACATTCAACCTGGATTTGAGTAGACTGCAGCACGTTTAAGGACATATTTGTTATAGTTTTCTCAGTAGAAATATTTAAGAAGTTCCAGATTAACGGGCAATTTGTTGAAGGAAAGCATGGGATAACAGAATAATAGAGCTGGAAGGGATTCTGGAGGTGTCTTAGTCCAACCCTCTCCCCCCCCCCCGTTCAAGCAGGAGATGCTATATTGGAGACCCTATATAAACTTACACTGAAGAAACTATGAATGCACAATTAAATGAACAAAAATAAGAGAGTGCTAAAGAAAATATATAGCTGCATTACCAAGTCTATTTTTGGTGAGCTCAGTTTGAGAAGGAAAATGTATAGGAAATGTGTTTCAAATGGGGTATGTTAAGAAGTACAAAAGAAGTAGATATCATTGCAAGAGACATGTGTTTTCCATCTTCCAAAAAGAGAAAAAGAAATTCTAAAAGCTAAATATTTAGAAAGTAGCCATCTTGATGCCGATACTTGCATGTATCTGGACTAGATCATTGGGCAGTTAGTTTGTGAACATTTGGAGGGAGAAATAGCTGCCTTCACAAAGAGACGGATTAGGTTTCTGAACAATAAATCTGATCAGATTAATTAAGTACTTTCAGGATGAAAATAGATCCAATGGCAGGATCCTGACAGAGGTAGATCAATGGACTCATGTCAATGAGCTTTCAGCCTTTTTAAGATGTCTCTTTGCGAATATGGTTATTGCATTTCTAGGACAGCTTGCCACAGCCAACTCATCGTGGCCAACTCGCCATGGCCATCTTGCCACGGGACAATTCTGCCATGGCCAGCTTTCCATGGGACAAGTTGCCGCAGGAGAAGAGTTACGCCAATATCAAAGAAATGGTGAAATAGAATCGTTAAAGAAAGGATACAAAAGGAGGACGGGATGAAATGTGAATGACAAAAATTAAAATTATTTTTTTATATTATTTTAAATAAATAAAATGGTTGAATTTTCCTGTGGTGAGGTGCCTGCTAGCGATTTGGCCATGGTGAGTTGTTCTGTGGCGAGTAAATTGGTAGTGGCAAGTTGGCTGGAGCAAATTGTCCCATTTTGTTCTGCTGTTCCTAATATGTAGGTATTTTAACCAGCTTTCTTAATTGCCTGTGTTGTTTGCTCTGCAGAGGAAATTCTCCTACGTCTTCTAACCATCACAAGCTTCTCTCTCCCCGAAAATATTGAAAGGTAATATCAGTTTATCCGTTTCCCCCTTTCCCGACATTTTTAAGCACATTGGAAATTTCCAATTCCAATTTTGAAAATACACGAGCTATTCTCTAGCCCAGGGCTTTTCAACCAGTGGTACGGGTACCACTTGTGGTACATTGACACCTGGCAGGTGGTACGCGACCATCCTAGAAAAGTGGTAGCGGGGGAGGGGAATGAGCTGAACTGGTGCAACCACCCAGCAGACCGGGGGGGGGGAATAAAAACCAAACAGCCCCACCCCATCCCTGCTGCCAATCCTCAACAGAAATGCTCACAACAATGAAAACCTCGGACAGGAGGAAGAGCACCGCCGGGTGGGCAGACAGGTGTCTTGCTCGGCTGTGGCTTGGGGGGCACTTTTTTCAGTGCCACTGTAACTTCGAACAGTCACTAAGTGAACTGTTGTAAGTCGAGGACTACCTGTACTTTATCACTCCCCCCCTTTTTTTTTTTGTCATCAAGTTTTTGACACCTTGCTAGGCGCCTGGTGGTACTCGGATGTTGCCATATCCTAAAAGTGGCACAATGGGTGAAAAGGTTGAAAAGCCCTGATATAGCCTTAAAAGATCAGGAAGTTTGCTTTGCATTGAAGACTGTGGAGAGGGCTTCTCGCTTAGAGCTTGCTAGGACAGGCAATCCCCACTTACAACTGCCATTAGGACTGGGGATCCTGTTACTAAGCTGAACAGTTGTTAAGCCACGCCAGATTTTGTGACCTTTTGCGCCACAGTTGTTAAGTGAATCCCTGCAGTTGTTAAGTGCATCACATGGTCATTAAGCGAGTCTGGCTTCCCCCCCCATTGACTTTGCTTATCAGAAACCACCTGGAAGGTTGCCAATGGCAATCACCTGATCCCGGGACGCTGCAACCGTTGTACATAACGTTTCTGTGGCCAAGTGTCTGACTTTTGATCTTGTGAGTATGGGGAAACATGCATGGTCATAAGTGTGATGGCCAGTTTTAAGTCACTTCATTTGGTGCTGTGGAAACCTCGAACAGTCACTAAATGAATGCTTGTAAGTTCGAGGATTATCTCTATCCATTCCCTTCTCCTTCTTACTTCATTTTCCCCTCCCTGCTTTTTTTCGTTGACCACTTCTGCTTTTTGCTTGGCTGGGTTTCATCCACTTGTTAAACAGCTTCTGCTGGCTCTCAGCTTGCCTGTAGAAGCCTATAGAGCCACTCCTGTTCCTCCTCCCCCCATGACATCTTTAGGCTCCTTATCCCGGACTCTCTCAATGCTGTCTAATGTCTATGTGCATTTACCCATTTAGTATGACTGTTTTTTGTTCTTCTTAACCTATCTTATCTTATCTTATCTTATCTTATTTTATCTTATCATCTTATTTTATCTTACCTTACCTTACCTTACCTTATCTTATCTTACCTTATTTTACCTTATCTACATTGTGTTTGTTCTTTTATTATATTGCATTATGTTACCTTACCTTACCTACAGGTCTAGGGAGATTCTAAGTCCTCCAGGTCATGGTGTCTTCAGCTCTGACTGGATGGTGGGGAAATGGAAGGATTTCTATTCCTTGCAGACAGCTGGTCATTTGCATTCTTTTAGAGAGTCATTGAAGCCATTCCTGACCATCCGGTCAGAGCTGAAGAAGCTCCTGGATGAGAAGCCAAACGTCTTCAAAAGAAAAACAAGAAAGTCCCGTTGCCTCCTGAAAAAGCACTTTTGGGACTATGTTACATTATGTTACCTTAATAATATAACGTAACGTAACGTAACATAACATAACATAACAACATAACATAACATAACAACATAACATAACAACATTCTTTACTCTTCCATTTTATTGGTATTGTTATTATGACTATTATTATTCTGTTGCTTTGCATGTACACTGAGAGTTTCTGCACCGGAGACAATTTCTTGTGTGTCTAATCACCCTTAGCCAAATAAAGAATTAATTCATTCATTTACTCATGTATTTATTCATTCATTCATTCTCAGTGTTTCCCATTTAAGACTTGTACACCTTCATATTGTGACACCTGCTGGGGTTATCATTGCTAAGCAATGTGGTGGTGCAGGAGAGGACAGGCTGCCTGACGTTGGCTAGCAGCTGGGCTGATGGTGACCTGCCCATTTTAAGCCCCCTCCGTAGCCGCCGCAGCTGCCCAGGGATGATAAAAAGCCGAGCAGAAAAACAGTTGTGTTTTTGTTGTGGTTGTGTTGAAGGTGTTCTAGAAGGGAGAAGGGAGGCGGTTTCTGTTACTTTGTGGAAATAAAGCCCCTTGGAGCAGCCTAGGGCTAATAGTCAGAAATATTGTTCTTCAGCAGTGAGGCTCACACACAGTAGCAGTCTAGTACTTCTTTGGGAAGTGTGTGTGGAGGAACTGTGGCTACCACCCATTGTGTGCTTGTGTTTGGGTTGCCTAAAAGCCAGGGGGGCGTGTGTTGGCCCTCTGGAGCTTTGGCTGCTTAAAAGAAACTGTGTCATCATTTTTTTAACTATTGCACTGCTTAGGGACAGCAATCCCAGCCCCCGGTTGCCATCGTAACCCAAGGACTATCTATCTAGAGATTGAGCATAGCATATACCAGAGATGCTTTTCATCACTGCATGGAAGAGCACCTGGTAATGCAGGCTATGAGTTGTAACAGTGAAATGTCATGTGTGGTGCATTAAACATCCTCTTTGCCTGTTTTGCAGCTTGAAGTGCCGCCGATGTGCAGTCGTTGGGAACGGCTATCGGTTGAGAAACAGCTCAATGGGAGAAGTCATTAACAAATACGATATTGTGATCAGGTATTGAGAAGCAGATGATGTTGACCTGTGTCACTTCCATTTATATCACAATGGACCAGAGAATTACTCATAATGGGAAACCTGGACCTGGCCATATTAGGGCACATCTTTTGTTTAGGAATACTTGATGCTGGGATGCTGTTTCTGCCAACATGTCAATATACATGAAGTCCCTGACTTACAACCGTTTGTTTAGGGACTGCTTGAAGTTACAACAGCACTGAAAAGAGTGACGTAGGGCCTTTCCCCCCCCCCCACAACCGTTGCAGCACCCCCAGGGTCATGTAGTCAAAATTCAGACATTGGCAACTGGCATGTATTTATGATGGTGGCAGGGTCATGTGATCCCCTTTTGCGACCTGACCAGCAAGGCCAATGGGGAAGTCAGATTCTCTTAATGACCGCGTGATTCAGTGAACAGCTGCAGCAATTCGCTTATACTTGTGGCAAGAAAGGCCGTAAAATGGGGCAAAGCTCCTTTAACAACTGTCTTGCTTAGCCATGAAAATGTTGGGCTCCGTTGTGATCATAAGTTTATTTTGTCAAGGTTCCAACTGACGAACCGAATCAAGCAAACACCTTCGTGGCTTTCTGAACTTTCAGTGTAAAACTTTATTGAATACATCATTTTGGTCCTCATGCATGCAAAACCAGCTCTGGCAAAACCCACCCAATCCCATATAGTAAAAGTATAGAATTTCCCCTCCTCCTTCTTGATCAGGTCACGTTGCCCAATTAGGTGGAATAATATTGTTATGAGAAAGCGTCTCTGGGTCTGGCCAGACATCTGGTGAACTGTCCTTGGTTCTCATGGTCTGCTTTCTTGATCTTTTGAAGTCTGTGTTCCAATCCCTTTTCCCCCCAAGTTTGTTGGCAAGCTGAGAAGCAATAATTGTCAAGCCAGCAAAAATGTGCTTCAAACCTGACATATTTTTTTTTTAAAAAATATTACTGAACCAATTCTTGAAGAAAAAACATGCTCTGTTCTCATGTTCCATGTGCCCTGCCCATCTGACCAGTGGCCACTTTTCCGGCATCAGTTTCTTATAGCTGGAATATTTCCTTATACATGAATCCATGCCCACATGACTTTGTGCCCTTGTGTATCATCTTCTCTTCCTCTCTCCAGGCTGAATAATGCACCAGTCCATGGTTACGAACGTGATGTGGGCACCAAAACCACTATGCGACTTTTCTATCCCGAGTCAGCACACTTCAATCCTCAGACTGATAACAACCCAAACACATTGCTGGTGTTAGTGGCGTTCAAACCCATGGATTTTTTGTGGCTGGAGACAATTCTCCACGACAAGAAAAGAGTAAGCGGTTAGCCTATCTTTTTTGTGTTTGTGTTTAATCGTGGAAAAGGACACAAGGCCCACTTGCCGAAGAAAAAACAAATTCACTGGGGATTCAGAAGTTCTTGTCTTCCAACCTCCAAAGCAGAGTGTTGTGTTATAAATACTGATTTGTTTGTGAGGTTGAATGTGGGATGTCCAATTTTGGTCTCACGTAAACGAAGCTCATTAACCAGATGTGGACAAGATCTATTTTCTTTGTCTGATTTCCTTGCTTATCCGTGATTGAAACAACATTGCTTCACTAAGTCCTTCTGCGATTGGAGAAGGCAGGAGGAAAAACCCGGAGGAACAGGAAGAAGAGCTGTCTAAACAAATTATCAAATAAAACAAATCTGACTCCAAGACAGAAAGGCAATTTGAGAATGCTTTCAGATAAGACCTACCTTAGTTTTCATCAAGATAGAGGTAGTTCTCAATTTATGACTGGCCGCTTAGTGACCATTTGAAGTTACAAGAGATCTTCCTGGAGCTATTTACAACCTGGTTCCGAACTTCCAACAGCTGCTCCTCCCCATGGTTATCGCATTGTCCTCTGGTCACATGACTGCATTTTATGAAGTTTTTGCCAAAAAAACTCAGTAGTTACTTCCAATTTTCAGCAAAACCATCCTATAGCGAACCTGTGGTTCATTTAATGACTGCAGCATTCGCTTAACAGATGATTTAGGAAAGGTGGTAAAATCAGGTCGGTCATGGGGTGACCTGTTTTATAACCATCACAACTTATGACTGTGTCTTAAATCGAGAACTACCTGTAAAGAGAGGTAGGGGAGAGATATATTCAAACCTGCAACCCTATTTCTGTGACCTTAGAATAAAAGTAATTTTAGCTTGCCTGCTTTTAGTTCCCTGTTTGGTCTACCTTGGAGGGCTGCCAACATCACAACACCAGTCAACAGAATGCTCATTCTATATTTCTTGAGCATTTTTGAGGCCAAACAGTAGGAAGCTGCAGAGAACGTGAGGAATCAAACAGGGGAGATCAAGTGTCCAAACGAAACACCAAAATGCTTCTCCTAAAATTGGAGAAGTAGTTTTTTTTTCTGCGTTACTTTTCGTTCTCTCCCTATTTCACCAGGTTAGACACTTATGCTTTTGATGTAAAGCGTGTGTGACTAATTTCCCTGTGTCTGCTATGTTTCCAGATTCGGAAGGGTTTCTGGAAACAGCCTCCCTTAATTTGGAATGCAAATCCTAAGCAAGTACGGATTCTGAACCCATATTTTATGGAAGTTGCAGCTGCTAAAGTGCTTAAGCTTCCAATGAAGCACTTGTGGAAGCTTAGAGAGGTAAGAAGAGATAACCATATGTACGTTTGTGGATGTGTGTGTGTGTGTGAGAGAGAGAGAGAGAGAGAGAGAGAATTAGAAGTATGAGTATGCAGTGAAGGGATGGATTATTTGAATACATGATTTGAAGCCAATTCCCAGAATTCCTGAGCCACTCCTGCCATATATCTGGACTTTTCATCTCCAGAGAAACTTGAGAAGGACAGTCCACCAGATATCTGCCTGCACCGCTGGCTGGCCAAAGAAGTCTTTTGGTTTAATGTCTATGGAGATTCTCGTTCATCCATGTCATGGTTGTCCCAAAGGTGCTTTTTCAAAAGGCAACTGGACTTTGTTTTTCCTTAAAGACGTTTCACTTCTTATCTAAAAAGCTTCTTCAGTTCATTCATTCAGAACTGGAGGAGATTCTTGGATGAGAAGTGAAACGCCTTCAAGGAAAAACAAAGTCCAGTTGACTTTTGAAAAAGCATCTTTGGGACAAGTCTTTTGGTTCTTCATCACTGGTACTTTTGATATGTTTGAAGAGCTCTTTTGCAGAGAAGCTTTCATTTGTGGAAAGTCCCCATCTGTTTCTAGAAGCACCTGAGTGCATGTTATGAAGTTTTTGTCCAAAAAAATCAGCATTTGCTTTCAGTTTTCAACAAAACTGGTCCATAGCGAACAAGTGATTCATTTAATGGCTGCAGCATTCACTTAACAGATGCTATAAAACAGGTGGTAAAACCAGGACGGTCACGGGTGACCTGTTTTATAACCACCACCCATTCCCTTAAAAATAATTTCAACCTTGATTTATCTTCTTTGAAAATAAAACCTTGAAATCAAGCTATTTTCCAAAGCACCTGAAGGCAGGACAAGAAGCAACGGGTGGAAACTAATCAAGGAGAGAAGCAATCTAGAACTAAGGAGAAATTTCCTGACAGTGAGAACAATTAACCAGTGGAACAACCTGCCTCCAGAAGTGGTGGTGCTCCAACACTGCAAGTTTTTAAGAAGAGACTGGACAGTCATTTGTCCAAAATGGTGTAGGGTTTCCTGCCTGAGCAGGGGGTTGGACTAGATGACCTCCAAGGTCCCTTCCAACTTTACTACTACTACTATTATTATTATTACTTTTGGCTGCAGTGTTCTTTTTTTCCTGGTTGGCAGCTTCTAGATTGCAAAGGCTTTTTTACTCCAGGTAGGTTTTTTTTTTTTGTCACTTGTTTGAAAATCTTAGTTCTGCCCTCCTCCCACTTCTTAATGTTTATTTCTGCATGAACCTGATCAGATAATTTCCATGAAATTATAAGGAAGTCTTCTGCCAGTTATATAACTACATAACTATTTAACTCTGTTGTCAATTACGCAGTGACAATAAAAATATTGTATTCTACATTGTCTTCAAGATTCTGTGTCTGCACTATGAAAATAGATCCCGATAATCCATCTATTTGTTTCAATTTTTTTTTAAACAAATGAGTCATCTGTAATGTTTTTATTGAAGTTACTTCCTGAAGTCTTGGTTAACAATGAGAAAATCTTCGTGAGACTGAAACAGGTCTTAACTAGAACGTTTCAAGGCCAAAGTGTAGACTTTTCATGCTCTGCTTAGGCCGTTTCCCCTATAAACAAAAGAAGCAAAATGATAATAAGATAGGCAAACAACTAATTTGGGTTAGGTTGCTATGATCAGCTTTTCTTTATCCAAAGAGATTCAGGGAGATTAACATCTCTGCGTAGCCACAAGATTTATGGACTATCTTATAGTAGTCACCCTCTCTCACGCTACCTCCTAAGATTGATCTGAAAATTAAAAGCCAGGAATTGTTGAAAATATTGACCATTGTCCTTTAAAAAATGGGCAGGTTAATGAATTGAAGGAGATTCTATGTATGTTCCTTGTAAAACTGAACAATTTTGCAAACCCTCTCTGGACAATTTAACTGGGGTTACTACAGATAGTCCTAGTCTTACGATCACAACTGGGCCCAAAATTGCTGTTGCTAGGTGAGACATTTGTTAAATGAGCTTTGCCCCATTTTGCAACCTTCCTTGCTACGGTCGTTAAATGAATCACTGCAATTGTTTAGTAACACGGATGTTAAGTGAATCGTGCTTCCCCATTAACTTTGCTTGTCAGAAGGTCGCAGAAAGGGATTACGTGATTCCAGGACACTGCATAACCATCATAAATATGAGTCAGTTGACAAGTGTCTGCATTTTGATCATGGGATCGTGGGCGCTGCTGCAACGGTCGCAAGTGTGAAAAACAGATATACAGTAGTGGCCAAAATTGTGGAAACCTTTTGGGAAAAGTGTACAGTAGAAATGCCACCTTTGGTTAAGTTTCCACCAATTTTTCTTCTGATTTCTTTATAACTGTAGCCTTGTTCATTTAATAATACTATTTTACATCGCTTTCTGGGCAACCAGTCAACTCTTTGCACCATGACTTCAATTTTATTACGTTTTACAAGCTGACTAAATGAAACAACACAAAAAAACCCAGCCAACTTGATAGCGATCACTTAACACACTGACAAATGTCCTCCTCTGAGCTTCAATACATGACATCAATAACCAAATCCTACTGTGATCTGATTGGCTCATTGCCAAAACAAGAGGACACCTGATTGGCTTTCTAAACACTCACGTTCATTGGCTACAATCAGATGAAGGAAAGCTACCTGATATCAACCTAAGCAAGTTGTGCTTCCTTTTTCTGGTTATTTGGCTGTAACTTTTCATAGAATACAGTACAGATAATTGAACAAACTATGTTGTATTACATTCTTGAGTACATTATCTTTCCATTGATACATAATTTTATGGTACTACTCCCAAAAAAGTGTTATTAGTCATCAAACCTCAAAACTACATGTTTCCCAAAAGGTTTCCACAATTTTGGCCACTACTGTAAGTCACTTTTTTCAGTGCCATTGTAACTTTGAATGCTCAGCAAATGAACTGTTTTAAGTTAAGGACTACCTGTGGATCATTTGTTCTAAAGCAGTGGTTCTCAACCTTTCTAATGCCGCGACCCCATAATATAGTTCCCCATGTTGTGGTGACCCCCAACCACTTATACATCACCAAGTGCCAGGGGTGTGGCCAAAGAAAAGGGGGAAAAAATGGCGGACAGCCTTGTTTGGCGACCCCCGTGAAATGGTCGTTCGACCCCAAATGGGGTCCAGACCCACAGGTTGAGAACTACTGTTCTAAAGTCTAAGTGAAGCCAGACTGCCATGTATGGAAGCCTCAATTATCACATGTCTCTTACTCTAGAAACCAACCACAGGATTAGTGGCTATCACCGTCGCCTTGCACTTTTGCGATGTGGTAGATATTGCTGGCTTTGGATATCCCAGTTCAGACGACAAGAAGCAGAGTATTCACTACTACGAGCATGTCACAGTGAAGTCTATGGCTGTGAGTAACTGCGTCTCGTCTAATGAAGATAGGGAACTATTCATACCTATCTCTGTTTAATAGGTCAAGGGATATATTAGCTTCTTATCCATAAAAATAGTTCCTTTGCATGAGATGACATACATGGTGTCATTCCCAGTTTAACTGAACAGCGAAACTCTAGATAGTGGCTGTAGAACGTGGTAGTATTGTAAATCCATTTTAAAACAATACACTGCAAGTATTATTTATTTATTTATTTATTTGTGAGACTTATATACCGCTTTAAGTGCAAGCACTCTCTAAGCGGTGTACACCAGTAAGCAATGTATATATATATATTTACATTGCCCCCAACAATCTGGGTCCTCATTTTACCTACCCCGGAAGGATGGAAGGCTGAGTCAACCTTGAGCCGGTGAGATTTGAACCGCTGACCTGCTGAACACAGTCAGCTAAAGTGGCCTGCAGTACTGCACTCTAACTGCTGCGCCACCTCGGCTTTTTTTTGAAGCAGCCTACTGTAGTGTATTAGGATTCCAAAGTGAGTAAATCGGAAAGCCAGAGTTAGTTGAAGATGCTCTGGTTTATGTGTTTAGTATAAAAAAAAACCAACCACCCTGCTGCTTCTACTAATCTGTTTTTTCTTATCTTATTCCACAGTCTTCAGGGCATAATGTCTCTCACGAGGCATTAGCAATAAAACAGATGCTTGAATTGGGACTCGTCAAGAACCTCACTTATTTCTGATGTAAGATGGACAGCCTTTATGTTCACGTCGAGCTGGGCCTTGTGCCAGCAGGACAAAGCCCTTTGTGGCTGGCCCATTCTAACATATAGCCGTCCCTTCCATTCCAACGCTGACTGGTGCAGAGGCCTTGCAGTTCCCTGCAAACGGTGACCAGGCTGGAGGGAAGTGTACGGCTTCTAAATGTGTTGACAGCTAGGGGTAGAAACAGACCTGTAGAGAACCTGGGTGACACCAGCAGCCGGAAGCAGGCGTCTTTCTTCCTTATTGAGCACTTGCCCTCTACAGAATCTTCTTCATTTGAATAGTTGCAGAATTTTCTTTGCCATCTAACTGAGAGGTTCCTGCATTCACCAAAGGCACCTTTGGAAGATGAAAGCTAAGTTGCTGTGGATGGGCCTCAAAGAAGATACGACGCAGTTTCCCATGGTGATAAAGTGATTGTCCCACAAGGTTGTTTCATTAATCATTTCCCCCTTCCTTGGTAAACCAATAGATGGGTGGTTGGTTTTTTTATTTTATTTATCGTGTTGGATGTTACCTAATGGGCAAGAGGCAACTGAACAAAGGATTATTAGCTGTCTGCCACCTTGTTTCCCTGTCTAGATGAAGATGAGGCTAAAGTATGCTGGTTCAAATCTCTGGGCAATGCAACCGTCGAGGATGCCCAGGTAGATAGTGAAGTTTATTTCTCTCCCGTCTGATCGGTTGGTTTTAGAGACCAAGTTGGAAAGGAGAGTACCCAACAGTATTTGCTGGTAGTTTTTATACTTAAAACAGTAGAGTTGAATGGACATTTATTTTTATTTTTTTTTCGGGCACAGGCTCGGGCACAAAACCCTTCTGTGAAGGACACGTTGTTTTGCCCGAGTAGCACATATCTGATCTTAAATAGAAGGAGTAGCTTTCTTTCCTTCCCATCAAGTGGGGATGACTACCCAACCAGAATTGATGGACAATGCAAAAGAGCTATCCTGGCCAAAGTTAAGCAGGAAAGGAAGGGCAAGAAAAGTTAAGAGAAGAAGACAAGGAGGTATCTCTCTACCGAGAAGGAATCGGCAGAACCCCAAAGCTGCGCAGCACTTTTGCCGGTCTGTCCCATGGTTAGGAAGGGGAACAAGGTCATTCAGGACAAAGGCTAATCTCAGGGGCCTGAAAATGAAGGTTGTTTTGAAGTAAGTTGCCTTTTCCTAGAGGCAGGGGAGGGCAAGGGGGTCCAGGCATTTCAGATGTGCCAGTCTGGTTAGGATTGGATGTGTTCTCTTCTTCCCCTTTAATCTCCAATGTGGGATCAAAGTGTATTCACTGTATATCTGATGTATTAAGTGCACTTGTCAATCGAAAGCTCTGATTGGAATATTGGAGACCTGGCAATCTTCCGTTTCTCCCTCGGGACGGAATCAACCGCATAAGGTACAAGACCGCAAGACCACCTCGCTGTACACCATCTCCATGTACTTGTGCAGCCAACGTGCCTTAGCCATCTTCGCAAGTGCCCAGCTTCGAGGGGCCTGCTGGCAATGCAAAACTCCAGCGGCTGAGACCATCTGATTCATTGCTAAGAAGATGGATTGCTGAGAAGGACTGCCCTGTGGACTTGACATTTAAGACAGAGTTCCTGATTCCTCCTTGGAAATAGGGAGGAAGAAGGGATTGCTTATTAAATGGCGATTCCAAGGGGCGAGAGGGTGGGAGTTGAATCCCACGAGCAAGTGTTGGAAGTGTCTTTCCTGGCCAAGCGATACAGCAGTGTTAAATAATTTAATAAATTTAATTTAAAACAGTCCTTTGTGAAGTGTCTTTGTTACATTTATATTATACAGGTGTGGGGAGGACATGTTTGCAGTCTTCCAATATTTGAGGGGCTGTCATAGACAAGAGGTGGGGGGCTTATTTTCTAAAGCACCTGAATGCAGGACAAGAGGTAATGGAAGCTTATCAAAGAGATGCAACTTAGAAAGAGAAATTTCCTGACAGTGAGAACAATCAATCATTGGAATGGCTTGCCACCTGAAGTTGTGGATGCTCCATCATTGGAGGTTTTAAAGAAGAGATTGGACAGGGGTTGAACTAGAAGACCTTCAAGGCCCATCACAACTCTGTTATACTGTTATTGTGCCTTTCCTTCAGGAGAAAAAAGTTGCATGCCTACGGTTGTAATGGATAGAAGGAATAACTTGGATGAACAGGAAGAAGAAAACAATCAAATACAAGAAATTTGAATCTGACAAGACCCTCCCTAGTTTTGACAAAGATAAAGAGAGGGAAGGGGAAAACACATTTGGACACGAAAGATTCTGTTACTATAACCTTATAATACAAGTAGTATTAGCATGTGTGACTGATTTCCCAGTTCGGTCTACTTTGAAGGGCTGACAATAGCTCTCTAATTTATTTATTTATTTGATGGCGGCGCCTGGATCGGCTGCGGCTGCATTGGCTCTCGAAGGTGAAAAGTTATGGGAGGGATGTTAAGGGATGTAGGCCACATGATCAGGAAGGTTTTAATGTGTTTGAGCAATGTGGAACTAAAGTAACATTCAACATATGACTGACAATCTTTGCTGGCATGGCGAGTTTCAAGCTGTTTCGGAACTGTTGGTGAGACCGTTAAAAGTCGTTGATGCTGTTTGAAATTGTTCTGCTGGCAGCAAGATCTGACTGCTGGCCCAGCGACGGATACTATTGCAAATCAGGGCTGTTTCCAAAGGAGGCAGAGGAGGAGAGGTCCTGGGGCTTATGGAGCAAAGGACCTGGATGAGGCCCAGAGGACGGGAGAGAGGCTTTTGGAGGAGTTGGTGGTGGCGGCAGCGTTCTCCAGGGGTGAAAAGGAGTGAGGTTTCTTTAAGGAAAAGGTGGAAGAGACAAGATCAGAAAAAGAAAAGGAGGAGAGGTTGTCGTGCAGGAATACAAGCTAATTTGAGGGCTAATCCACATGGAGCTCCATTTCCATCTGTCCTGTTTGCCATCGTTCGCTCCCTAGAGATTAAAATGGAAGATCTGTAACTTGAGCTGGCCACGAACAAGGAGTGTATATCGGAGGTGGTGACCCTTTGAGAGCTGTATGCAACGAAATTTCATTTTGATGTATACCGATTGGTGTACTTTCAAAGTGACAATAAAATAATAATAATAATAATAATAATAATAATAATAATAATATATATATATATATATATATATATATATATATATATATATATATATATAGGTCTTTGGTTGTTCGGGTTTTCTCCCGCGTAAAATTGAAAGTGTCTTGGCAACGTTTCGACGAAGTCACATTCGTCATCTTCAGGCTGGTGTTTTTAGCTTCTTGCTTTGAGCAGCAATGTGTGGTTTTAGCTGTTTCTTCCTTTTAACTCAGAAAACAAATATATATATATATATATATATATTTTCTAGGAGCACGAAGCCGAAAGCACCAGCCTGAAGATGACGAATGAGACTTCGTCGAAATGTCGCCAATATACTTCCAATTTTACATGGGAGAAAACCCGAATAACCAAAGACCTACATACAAACACCCGCGAAAACCTCAGAAAACATACACACACACACACACACACACACACATACATACACACACACATTCATACATGTATACATATATCTTTGCAAAACAAGATATTTAGTGCCTATAAAATTTTCCTTGTGGCTCAGCTCAGTTGTGAGACAGTGTCACTCCATGTAATGGAGAAGTTGGATCATCGGCTAGAGAGGCTGAGAATTTTACTTTCAGTATAGTTCAGATCCCAGCAGGGAAGAAGCAACGTTTTTTCTATGTTAAAGTTGTAGAGAAGCAACGAAAACACCCGGAGCAAAGCTCTTGCTCATGATGATATGAAAACAGAAATTCTTTGTTGGATCCATTTGAAGCTTACTAACAGGAGATCAGCTGAAAAAAAAAAAAAACTATTGGTATCTAGTTTGGGAAAGACATGTAAGTAGCTGGCTGAATATACGGAGAATCTGTTAGAATATTCACTGGGCAACTTTACACATTACTCCAGCCTAAAAAGAAGTTATAACTTTTTTGCTGCTTGAAGCCAGTTCACATTTTTTACATTCTGTCCTTGTGATGTTGTTGTTTGGTATGTTCCTTCGTATCCATTCAGTCTTTTTTTGGAAAAGCATCATGGCGTGTAGCAGGTCTGTTTTCTTGGGTCTTCTGAAGCTGCTGTTTTCGAGGGGATCCGTTTTTAGAAGGTCTGAGCCAGTGTTTCTCAACCTCCATAAATTTAAGATGGGTGGACTTCAATTCTCAGAATTCCCCTGCCAACCATAGGTGGACTTCAACGCCCAGAATTCCCCAGCCAGATGGGGTTTGAGGTCCACTGTTCTTAAACTTGCCAATGTTGGGAAAAACACTAGTCTAAACTCATACTGTAGAGAAGAAACTGATGAAGGAGAAGGCAATTGACGCAGATGACATCTCAGGAGCTGAACACTAGAGATTAAGTCAGGGTGTCAACGCTGCTAACATTGGATGTTCTTGCTTTGACAACATATGGAGATGCAGCCATTTTCCTTCTTATGTTTTACTGTTAGAGTTAGAATTAGATGATACTGGGGAGGGGGGAGAGGAATGTGCATGGGAGTTTAGTTAGACATAACAATATTGTAACTAGTGTGAGAACCAAGGTTTTTGAAATAAGAGATGATAAGAAATGGCCGAACTGGAGGGAAAGCCTGCATTTCAAACTAATTGGAGAATGTGATTTATGACTGTTAATTAGAGGAGGGAATTGTGCTTTGATACTATGTGCTCAGGGGAGGGGAATTCAGATTTTAAGGTAAACAATGCCTCAAAGTTCTTTGAAGAGTTTCATCTGTGGAACCATGACACGGGGTTTGCAATAGTGGTGAATATCAATAGCTCAGGTGTAGGATGAGGGTGTTTGTTCTCTTAGCTTGTGGCTTAGTTTCTGAATGTTGCATGACCAGGCTAGGTAACATTTTCAGCAGAGTTTAGTTAGTGTTAGAGTTAGTGTTCTGTTTATAAGGGCTTTGTGTGGTTAGTAAGTCTTGTGATGGGTCAAGTGTAGATGTGACAAGTGAGGGTTTTGCGATGGGTCAAGGCTACTGGTGCTCTTTTTTAAAGAGGTTTTTGGTGTTATAAAACATGACTGTCCCCTTTCTCCATTTTTATTGTTTTTGCTTGTAAATTGAGGGTAGGTTTAGTTAAGTCCCAAATGGCTTTTTTTAATTGAAACTCAGCAGAGGTAGTGATTATTTTAATTACTTTTATGATATTGCTTCACTATTTTAAAAAGAACAACCTTCGTTCTTTTATAGGACAGTGATGAGCCTGCTAATTAAAGACCATGCTGATCTCTGCTAGCTGATAAATACCATAAAATGCATTTTAAAAAGTCTTGTGAAGAAGCTTAAACAGCTGTTTCTTGAGGGCTTTGTGGCTGACTAATTTTGATCCTGCTGAAAACATATTGCACAGTTGACACATAAGGCTAGTATACCTGGTCAGTAGACCCTGGATACCCCCTACACAGCAAATAGAGAAAACTCCTAGGCAGTGTTTTTCAACTGTGTCAACTTTAAGACCTATGGGCTTCAAATCCCAGAATTCCCCAGCTAGCATGCTGTTGAGGAATTCTGGGAGCATAGCTGACTGGAGAATTCTGGAAATGGAAGTCCATAGGTCTTTAAGTTGCCAAGGTTACCTTCCTGGTAATCAGGAAAAAGTGAGAAAGAAATTCAAGATTTGCCTGCCTTGACCTTTGATACCTTTGTGGAGGATGGAGGAGAGAGACTCTATTGGGCTTTTAAGATTCTGCTATAGCCTAAATTGATAAAGTAGAGCTTTAGGATCTCTTGTTGAATTGGGTTTCTCACCAGGCCCACCTTAAATAAGCACCAGGGCAAAAAAAACCTGTTTTGCTTCCCTTCTTCCAGTAGCTCATGTTGAAGAGGAGCTCTACTGCTTTTAGGAGGTATCTTCATAGCTTTCTCTCCTATGGAGTTTTCTTGGAACTACTGTGTTGGGGAGAGGAGTGGTTTTCTGGCACTCCCTGCTTCCGGAGATGTCCATGGTGCTGTGCGTGTCAATGAAGTCAAGATGGCAACCCTAACCATACACCTCGAAGGGCAAATGAAACTCAAATCACCTGTTTGGGGCACCGTCACACCTTTTTTTGGACACCCTTCCCTCTTGTGAACACCCTACCTATTCCCCAGCTTGGGGAAAGGGAAGCAGTGGTGGGTGACTTGGCTTCTCTACTGCATGGCCCCATCCGAGGATAGCAAAGGTGGCTTCCTTGAGCACCCTTCACTTTCTTGAAACAAGCTATGTGTAGTTGACTGATTAGGAAGGGCTGATTCTAGAGCAGGATGAATTCATTCTCTACACACAGGAGAACTAAAATGCAAAAGGGGCAAATGATTGGTTGAAAAAAGACAACTCTTGTCAGAGTATTTTGAACAGCTTTTCCTACTTTAGAGCATGTCCTTCTTGTTACTCAGAGACCAGATGTGAATGTGTCAGCTCTGGGCAAAGAACCACATGAAAAGTTGTGCTTTTTTTAAAAATCTACTGGATCAGAATAACTATAATCAAAGAACTATGATTTTCTAGAATTGCATCTTCTCAGCTTCTGTTGAAATGGATAGCCAAGGAAGCATAAGAATTTATTTCGAGGCATCGCCTAACGCCATTTTTGTCCACTTGTTGGGAAGCAACTCACCTGTGTCTCTGCGTTGAAAAGATGGTTCCATGGGGTTTGGCTGCTACCTTACTGCTACTTGTTCAGTCAGTAGGTCTGGGCAGACGGTCTTTAATGCTATCTCATCCCCAAGCAATTTGGCCTTGCAAATGTTAACTTACGGAAGGACGAGTGGATGGCACAACAGAGCTATTGCTCATGAATTTCCTGAACATAACGCCCTCCTTTGCAAAACCAGTATAGTGTTTTTTTAAAAAATATTATCTTGTTACATTGGTGCCATCTCATTTTCTCTGCTTCTGAGATAGGCCTTTCAACCAGGTTGGGAACACAGCACATGGCACTTGTACATACCAGCTTCCTGATGAATTCCAGGTTTAGTGAAACCAAGGTGTTAATTCGCAGCCAATGTAACTGCCTATCACTGTTGCTTGTTATTAATGAACAACAGATGGCAGAGGAAATTCTTGCTTCAGACAGTAAACTCAGCAAGATAAAATTTAAAAAAAAAGCAAAAAAAAAATATGTTTCCGAGCAGTTGGGTCTCTGAACAAGTCATTAACTGCTTGTGAGGGATGATCAGTTCCCAAGTATTTTCATATTACTCAAGCTTTATATATTATTGCTGAAGCCAATGGTGAAGGTCACTTAGCAGGCTTTCAGCTAGAGCAGGGTTTCCAGCCATGGCAACCTTAAGACTTGTGAACTTCAACTCCCAGAATTCTGCATGGATGGCTGGGAATTCTGCGAGTTGAAATCCACAAGTCTTAAAAGTTTCCAAGATTGGACATCCTTGATTTAGGAGTAATAATGCAAGGTAGCGGTTGCAGTTCTAGGATGTGGCCTGTAGGTGACAGTCGTAACCTGAATTTCCCATTTTTAAAAAAAAATCCAGCAACAGTAAAAAGTACCTTTATTTGTTTGTCTGAACTGGAGAGTATTCAATTTATTTCTTGTTCACTCTGCAAAGATGATTGCAAAAAAATAAACTGAAGTGTTTCCAAGGATTTCCTAAACAACATGGGTCCAAATCATCTATCCCAAATCTTCGGAGAGACCAAAATGGTTGCTTGCTGGTCTAAAGAAGTCTTGACTGATTAAACATTTAATGACTAGTTGACTGGCTGTAGGGAGAAAGCCCCAGGGTGGCTGGAAGCCTTGAAGGTTACCCCTCCCTCCCTGTGCCATGAAACCCCTATAGGCTGAGTAATTCTTTCTAAAAATTAAGTGCCTTGAAATTCTTAGTAGCCAATTTGCAGTTTCAATGCCATGCCTTATTTGAGAAGTGGGCAATAGGCTTTAAGTGTAGCTTAATGATAGGGCACACCCCATATGAAAAAAGCATGTGTGTGGAAAACATCTCATCTTCTGCTGGCTAAATCAGAAAATACTATTGTTTGTTAAATGGAGGAGGATTTCTATTGGTGAAGTTAGAAAAGAACCACCACTTGGACCAGGGACCTTCAAACTTGGCCCTTTTATGACTTGTGTGCTTGGCTGAGGAATTCTGGGAGTTAAAGTCCACAAGTCATAAAAGGGCCAAATCTGAAGGCTCCTGACTTGGACACCATGATATCTACAATTCTCAATGAAGGCAGCTTCTGAAGTTCAAAAGAAAGCCGGAAATCCAACAGCTATGCACGCTTATATACAATGGTCATGAAGAGACAAGATGCCATTTTTCCTGATCCATATGGTAGGTCCTAACATCCCCAAAGATTCTGGTTTAGGATACCACCCTCTCTTTCCTGCACCTTCTCCAGAGAAATTTGGCTTGCTTTTTTTGTGTGTGTGTGTGTTTTCCCCCTCTAGCAGTGGTGTATTTATGTCCTCACATGATCCAAATTTTGATTTGTTTTCGGTAGTTTTCCCTTGCCAGACCAGCTTTGATCTAAAATTGCTTGTGAGACTGAACAGACGTTCTTCTCTGGGGTGCATTGTATGAGAAAAGCACACACACATGGATAAGAATTGGATTCGTTGATTGTATCATTGTGCCTGCTAGATTTCAACTATTCATATTATTGAGTTTATTCCTTATGCAGAGGGCGTTTTATTAGTTGGTATGAATGGATGCTTATAAGCTGCTAAGATCAAATGAAATCAGTGACTCAAACCACCAGTGAATGGTGCTTAGGGAACAATTAATCAGTGGAACGACTTGCCTCCAGAAGTTGTGGGTGCTCCATCACTGGAGATTTTTAAGAAGAGACTGGACAGCCACTTGTCTGGAATGGTATAGGGTTTCCTGCCTGAGCAGGGGGGTGGACTAGATGACCTCCAAGGTCCCTTCCAACTCTGTTGTGAAGCTAAGCCTGACAACATATTTGCTCTCTACATTTGGGGAGTTGAAACTATGGTGATAGGATTAGAAGAATATGTTTGAAGAAATGGGCAGGAGTTCCTGACTTTTTCTTCGAAAACTTTTGCACCTTTATCACAGATTAAGCCCTGAATTCTGAAAGTAAGCAATCACACAATGCGTACGTTGCTTGTGCTAAATGCTGTGTGTGGTTTTCTCTTTTGGAACAGAGTTGTTTAAATCAGACTGGTTTCCAGAGGACCCACTGACACGGAGCTTGTAACAATTGCTGTATTAATCTTCCAGTTGTGCTGTTGTGGGGAAAGGGAGGGCACGGAATACAGAAGCAGCAGTAAGAAAAGTTTTATATTCACTCGCAGCAGCAGCAGCAGCAGCCTGCTGTGGACACTGGGTGCCTGCAGTGATTGTCACACGTCACTCAAAAGAGGAGTTCAGTCTTCCCTCCACCAAACAGTTCCTCTTTATCAAAATCAGAGTAGGATGGATAGGCTATAGGCATATCTGGGTGTTTTGCTGAAAAGCCACTCTTAAAAAAAAAAGTTTTGTTTTGTTTTTTGTCCAAAGACACATTGTAATATGATAAACACCAAACACCAAACAAAATAAAAGTCATTAAAAATAATAAAAGACCAGGATTAGCAGTCAGTGCACGTTATTACACCAATGGCTGTCCCCCTCCCCCTCACACTGAAACTTCCTTAAGTTAAGCCACAGTTGTCTGAGGTTGCTTTGAAGGACACAGTTCCCTACCCCCCCACCCCTTATAATTTGCAAATGAGGCTAAGCAGCAGGGAGGGTGGTTTTGCTGGTGCAGGTGACAGCGGGGCGTTGAAGATGCACCTTCTCCAAAATGTCCACAGACAGGAATCGATGTCACTAAGCATAGAAGATTCTAGAACCATCAGTCCATTTATCTTCAGGAGCCAACCAAAGGTAGATGATCTGCCAGAGAAAGATAGCTTAGATGTCTCTCCTGGGCCAATCGAGGCAGTTGGATGAACTGGGAAATACAAATTGTGGGTAGGTGATCGATGGTCATAACTACCTACAAATCTCCAGGGAGACCCATCTTGTTTGGTAGGAAAAGCAAGGATGCTTAGCCTCCCACTGAAAGCCACGGATGCTGTTACTCTTGCACAGATGGGTTTAGAAGCCTGCCCTCCCTAAAAGAAGGGGCCAGGGGATTTGTTTCCACCCTACATGTTTTCCCAAATAAGTTATCTGTCCTTTCTCCTTTATTTTGTTCCCATCCCCCTTCCAAGCCTGGGTTTGCTACAGGAAGGGAATGGGCATTGTGCTTAAGGTTAGTTTGGGTTCAGCTGTCGTGAGTCCTACCCCCTTGTGGAAGGGAGTCTAGGAAAGAAGGCATAGGTCTCTTTGAAGAGTTCTATCTGCATCACAAGGCTCGGTCTAGCTCCCCCCCCCACCTTGCAGTATTAGCCTTTACTCTAGAGAAGGGGAAAAAGGGCTTTGTGGAGCTAAAGGTCACTAGAACACACATAAACTGGTCAAACAGCCTCCATCCCCCCAGGATTGGCTGACTTCAGCAGGGCCAGGATTCAGCCCAGGTGATCTCTTGTCCCGCTGGCTTTGCAGTCTATCCTATCCTCCTTCCCCCCCCTCCCCATCACGTCCATTGCCAGTGTTGTCCTGTCTTTTCACACGTGGGTCTGCATCCTCCTTTGTAGAGGCCGACTAGGGTCTGAGTTCTGAGAGGAGGACTGTGAGTGATGAGAAGATGAGGCTGAAGCTTTGCTGGCCTTGTCAAACTGTACGTAGCCGTCCTGCTTCCCGCTGCTGCTGACGCTGCTGTCGCACTGCGTGTCCAGGAAGGAGCTGCTGTCGCTCATGGAGCCTCGCTGGAATTCCCGTTCACACAGTTCGATGGAGCTGCTCCCCATGCCCAAGATGAAGCGCTGGCTGTAGTCGTAGAGACGGTTCTGCCCACTCAGGGTGGTGTAGATGTTGGTGAAGGACATGCCGGTTGGCACACGCTGCTTGTTGGCTGGCCTCATCTCCGGCTGGCAACCTGAGAGAGAGATGGTGGGCGTGGAATGGTGGTCCTTGAAGGTGTTCACGCTGTAATAGCCATTCGTGGGATCCTGGAAAGAACAAGGGGGGGGAGTTTATTTCTTGGTGCAGGGTTGCATTTTGGATTCTGGCATTACAGTAGATGCCAGGTTGTGCAAGAGGAAGGCTTAATTGTTCATTGTTCAGATGAAAGTTTTTGGCAAACTTTTCCCCTACAGAGAAAGAGGGGGGAAATGTTGTAAATTTTAATTAGCTGTTCCTTGCACAGATTCAGCTATCTATCATCTATCTATGTATCATCTATCTGTCTATCATCTATCATCTTTCTAACTATCATCTCTCTATCTACCTACCTACCTATCTATCTATCTATCTATCTATCTATCTATCTATCTATCTATCTATCTATTTGTCTCTATCATCTTTCTATCATCTCTCTTTTTCATCCATCTATCTACCTACCTACCTACCTACCTACCTACCTACCTACCTACCTACCTATCTATCTATCTCATCTCTCTCCTATCATCTAATATCATCTATATCTACCTCTATCTTCTGTCATCTATCATCTAAGATTATTTTTCCATTAAGAACGAGCAGTGTATATTCCTTGAGAAGGCAGCTGTATTCCATCTTGTGTGGACTGAAATTAGGAATTTTACAAATACAGAATTTAAGTTTTGAAACTGAAGGTAGACTTCCCTCCCTAAGAGCTGCCATTCTCTTTCCTAGTCACTTCTGATCAATCTTAGAAATACCACTATGGTTTTATTCTCATTGATAGAAAGGAACATTGTGCATTCCTGCAATATTTCACCTGTTGCCTGTGGGCAGCCATTCCGCAGGGCGCCTGCAAGTGAAATAAGAATTCACAAAGATATTTATTATCTGTAATTTGAAATGAGAAGTTGCAATAAATGGATCAGGCCCAAAAATATATGATAGCGTAATTGATTTTCAGTGGAAATGGATCATTATTGGTTCAACATTTCTAGCCTATGTATTGGTATAATTTGCAGCTATATAATTTCATATAGTAGAAATGCTGCTTCTCTGTGATTATATGTTCAATTTGCCATGCGTATTATGGGGGCTGTGATGCCTTTCATGAGAATAAATAAATGCACAGGTCTTGGAGAGCTTGCTTTTTTCATGGTAAAAACATTCCAATTTTTGTTTTGAATCACTGTGTGAAATTCGGTTTTGCATTTAGCAATATAATCCTACGTTAATAGACAGTTGTACTTATGCTTTCATACCTCTGTATTTGAGAAACAATGTAAGTATGAAATATGCACATCAAACATTTAGAAACACATCAAACACACCTCTTAATGTGTGCTTATGTATGCTGAATAGAAATCACTCATCCACTGCAAAATACATGGGAAGCAATGGGGGTCATAGAGGTAAATTGCAATGAGGCCTTTTTCATTTCTTCCCTTGTAATTGCAAATAATTGAATTTCTATTTTGTGAATACTTAAAATGTCTACACGTATAAATGGAGATTCTCAGGTTTTTCAATCTACTTTTGCTGATTTTTTTTTTTAAAAAATCATCTCTAAATGCAAATAAACATAATTGACGGAGACGCTTTTAAGAGAGATTGGGGAAGCAAGGTGAATGCCTAATGTGGAAGCTTAATGACCTCCAGATTCACTTAACAACTGTGGCAAAAGGGTTGTAAAATGGGGCAAAACTCATTTAACAATTGCCTTGCTTTGTTGTTGTTAATTGCGAAGTCATGTCTGACCCATCGTGACCCCATGGACAACGTTCCTCCAGGTCTTCCTGTCCTCTACCATCTGCTGGAGTCAATTTAAGCTCACACCTACTGCTTCAGAGCCACCTCATTCTCTGTCGTCCCCTTCTTCTCTTGCCCTCAATCTTTCCCAGCGTTAGGCTCTTCTCCAGTGAGTCCTTCCTTCTCATGAGGTGGCCAAAGTACTTGAGTTTCAACTTCAGGATCTGGCCTTCTAAAGAGCAGTCAGGGTTGATCTCCTCTAGGACTGACCGGTTTGATCACTTTGCAGTCCAGGGGACTCGCAGGAGTCTTCTCCAGCACCATAGTTCAAAGGCCTCAATTCTTTGGCGCTCAGCCTTTCTTATGGTCCAACTTTCACAGCCATACATTGCAACTGGGAAAACCATGGCCTTGAATATACACACTTTTGTTGGCAGGGTGATGTCTCTGCTTTTTAGTATACTATTTAGATTTGGAAATGTTGGGCTTAGTTGTGGTTGTAAGTTGACAACCACCTGCAAATAAGTAACAAAATTGTCTGCCCCGTAATTCTCCTAAGGCTGCCATTCTAATATTCTCTCTCAAATATTCTTCTCTTTCATCGGACAGAGCTTTAGCCCAGTTGGAAATCTGGCAAAGAAAACAGCAGTTTCCCCCACAACAATGAAGGCAATGCTCCTATTACCATGGAAACTATTCAGATAAAAATGTTGGCACATCCTATTAATTGATCAATTAATCCCACCATCTCTCTTTCCCTTCCATCTTTTTCTATAGAAAGGAATGGGAGAGAAATGCTGCTCTTTTGTGGGTGGGGAAATAAAAAATTAAAGCTGCAGTGATTGACTTGGGATTTTTTCAGGGCAGAAGAATGTAAGATGGCGAAGACTTTGCTTGAAGATAAAGGCCTTCAGGTTTCAAAGGAGGGAACCAGATTTTGGAAGCTCCACTTCTTCCTGTGCATGCCTGAAAAATTGTGTTGAAAGCTTCATTTAAGAAGGTGGGGAGGAGCTTGAAGGCACTATCCTCCCAAGAGATTTGGGATTTTGTGATTGCACAAAGGAGGCTGATCAAAACGGAAAGCAGATTTTTTAACAGAAAGACAGGGCTGGTTTACTTGAGATAAAATATATCCCTTGGCATTTTTAATCACTAGAACATCCAGCTTTGCAAAGCTATGGAGATATACTGTTGCACTGTAGAAAAATGCATGCTTTCTCTCTATCCAGAATTACACTTCCCAAATTTCCATCATCCCAAAATCTAACTGATTTAGATCCAAAATCCGGGGAATCTACTGCTTTTCCGTTGTGTCCTTTTCTAAAGACCTGCCACCAGATGCGGATTATCACTCTAATAATTGTCACTCCTCATGGATAATTATCCTACTGGATGGGAATCATGAGGATTGCTTGCTGGATATTACAGGAGGAAGAAGAAAACTTGAAGTGGGTAGACCAAGACAATGAATCAACTCAAGGCTGTTGCTTTTCTCCCCACTCTTTGAACAGGAGATGGCATGGAATCCAAATGGGAGCATCGCCCAGGACTGGCGCAGCATCTTTAAGTTCTTAACCTATACAGCAAGGGTCTCCAAAACTGGCAATCTTAAGGCTTGTGGACTTCAACTCCCAGAATTTCTCAGCCAGCTATGCTGGGAATTGAAGTCTTAAAGTGGCCAAGTTTGGAGACCTCTGCTATAGTATAATGATGCTGAAGTGCCAAAGGGAGAGTGAGTAAGGAGTAACAACTGATAGAATATTTGTGGCTCAGGACTGAACTGTGGGGTTCCTTGGTGCTCTTTGAGCTTGGTGCACTGCTTACCACTGACGATGTTACCTAGATGGTAATGAATCATCTGCAAGGAAACGGCCAGCTCAGAGAACACCAAGGACCCCACAGTAACAAGGGAGTATAGAAAGCAAGGGAGACTTAAGTTGTTTCTGATTTTGGATGAAAGAATAGAATGGAATAGAATAGAATAGAATAGAATAGAATAGAATAGAATAGAATAGAATAGAATAGAATAGAATAGAATAGAATAGAGCTGGAAGGGATCTTGGAGGTCTTCTAGTCCAGCCCCCTGCTCAAGCAGGAGAATCTATACCATCTAAGACAGGTGACTGTCCAGTCTTTTCTTAAAAATTTCCAGTGATGGAGCGCCCATGATTTCTGGGGGTAAGCTGTTCCACTGGTCGATTGTCCTCACTGTCAGGAAATTTCTCCTTAATTCCAGGTTGCTTCTCTCTTTGATCAGTTTCCAACCATTGTTTCTCGTTCTTCGCTTTGGTGCTCTGGTAAATAATCTGACCCCCTCTGCCTTGTGGCAGCCCCTCAGATACTGACATAATAATAACAGCATACATTGTGCTGCTAAATAAATACATCAAAGCTCTGGTGCTCAACAATACTGTTACTTACAGTACAAATGGATGGCTCTATTAAATTGTGCAACTTGTGTGCATAATGTTGCATCTCCCTTTAAAACAACACAGTGCAGAAATGCAGAAATGGCAACTTTTTTCAAAAAAGAAAATAGTTGCAGCCTTGCAAGTATTATGACTATCAAATGCTGTTTCATAGGGAGAGCTGATTCTTCTCTCTTCCTATGAAGATGAGTTGAAGTAGACTCTCCTGAGGTCTCAAATCTAGCTAAATGGTTAGGGGCAGGACTGACTGCTTCAACTTTCTTGGAACTTGCACTCCTTGTACCTATCCTACAAATATCCCTTGGCTTCCAAATCCATGAAACAGCCTCCCTGACAAGTGGTAGGACAATGATTTTAGCAACACAGGCAGGGTCCTTGGGAATGAAAACCTTCTCATGTGTCAGAAATTTCTCCTCAGTTGACCTTACTCCAAAAGAGCTAATGAACATAAGATTAGTTTGGGTGGAGTCTTCCTGCATGAAAATCTTGAGTGTAAGAAATGCTGGAATTGCACATCTGAAACCTAGCCAATTACGCTTTATATCTGCTGTTCAAATGGGTCAGCATTACCTTTGTTATTTATGACCCCTAAACTGGATCCAAAGTATCCCTCTTGATTTTCCTCTGTTTTAAGCTTCCCTTGTATTCCTGACTAAGTTAATTGCTTATGCTCTCATTGAACAAAACAGTAACCTATTCAACCTGGGTCGCTGAGCTTTAGGACCAATTTAGTATCTTGTTACAAAACCAAATTAGAATGCTATTGAGGATACAATTAAGCTGATCTGCAAGAGGTTCAGAGAAGGTGAAATTGTTCCTATCCATAATTCTGAAAGTCCTTGACTTCTGCTACATCAATCTCTCTTGATTTTGTTGGCTTTGCTGAATTTCATGACTAAAGGTTACACCTGTGCAAATCATTCCTTTTTAAAAATTTTCATGCAGTGGAATTGATTACAACGATGCTGTGCTGCTTAAATCTAATTTCTCCTGCTTAGTTTGTTTTACACAGCAATAAAATCTCCTCCATATTCCCTGACAGATTCAGATAATCCCTGGGAAAAATCAATCTCCTCTTTGGTGATCTGCATAGGTAAATTTGAATACTGTAATCTTGAAATTACCTTCAAATTCTGGAATTCTTTTTCTTCTTCCTTGAGGACCTCCAGTTGTTTAAGGACTGAATCTTGCTGGAACTCACTTCTGTCCATCTATGGTTAAAGGGAAGTAGATGGTGAGTCAAAGGAATCAAGCACTAAAAATCTCAACCCCAAACTTAGTAAATTGGATTCAAGCACCAGAATGAACCAAAAATCCCCGTGTTCCCCTTCAGTATATTATCAATAGTTATAGTATACATTGTGTACTATTGTCAAGGTTCCGACTAATGAAACACTTCAAAGCACTTCCAGGCATTGTTTAGCCTAAAAAGTCTTTATTCGTGTAACCAAATGTCGGCACGGCATGAATGAGAGATGCCAAGATCTAAATTCTCCTCCCCAGCATATTCCCTCCCTTAATTTACCATCATAAATCACAGTCTCCAATCAGTTTGAAGGCCAAAGGTTCCCTTCAGTTTGCTGCATGGGACTTTTATCTAAAATAATTACCCACATACATTCTTTCTCCTCCCCTCCCAGCATCATCTAAGTTAACTCTAAAAATACCACACAGCTCTGCATATTTTGTCAGAGCAAGAACATCCAATGTTAACAGCGTTGACAACTATCACTATTATCAAAGTCTGATCTCACCATGGGAGTTCCACCTGTAGATCTCCTTCTAGCTTCTCCATTTAAATGTCTATGAAGAGTCTCAGACATCCAGGTCCTGGTTGTCCCAAAGGCGTTTTTTCAAAAGGCAGCTGGACTTTTCTTTGTTTTTTCCTTGAAGACGTTTCGTTTCTCATCCAAGAAGCTTTTTCAGTTCTGACCAATCCTTCCATTCGCCACCATTCAGTCAGCTTCTTGGATGAGAAGTGAAATGTCTTTCAAAAGTCCAGTTGCCTTTTGAAAAAGCACCTTTGGTTCCTCCATTTAAAGATTTATGCACAAGGGATACTGAGACAATGACATCACCAAGAGCTTTTTGCAGTCATCCTTCTGGGCATTGAATTGTACTGAATATACCTCAAGCCACCGAAAACTGGCATGTTGCTTCTCTAATGCACATTTACCTCTTTCGGTGCTGAGTGTCCTGAGGTAGACCTACTGTCAGGATTTAAAAACTTAAACTTGCCTGGGAAGGGTGGAGTGGCTCTGAAGGGGGGTAAGAAGCTATTAAATGTATTGGCCATCTGTTTCCATCACAACGCTAGGTGGTATACTACATAAAACAAGTCAAACAATGAATACAAATAATATAATGCAAAAAGCAAATATTTAAGCAGGGGAAAACACAAATTCTAACACACCAACCACCCCACAAGAGGTTTACATCTTGTGTAGACCAACACCTGTGGGAAAACCCTAGTTTTAGGGATTTTTTTAAAAAAAAAAGTGGGGAGAAAGAAAGGGCATATGAGTCTCTAGGGCCATGCTGTTCCACGGGTGCTCACTGGAAGAAGAAGAAGAGGCATCTGAAGTGTTTTGCATTCAACTATTAGGAGAATCTGTTCTTCTCTTGGCTTGTTTGTTTTTCCCATTATCATGTTTTAAAGGCTGCTTTCACTTTAATTCAATAGATGGATCTGTAAGCAGCAGCCTATTCTCCCAGCCTCATTAGTTTTTCTGCAAAGGATGCTTCTGATTGGGGGCAAAGTCTATGTTAATTAGAATATGGCTTTAATTACCCTTCTTTCAGGAAGGTGGGCCTGGATGAGACTTGAATACTTATTGGGCAATTTCTCTGTTGCCTTTTATTTTCCCTAGATATTGATCGCTGTAGCCCTCGTGTTTCCTCTTTTGCCATTGCAAGACTGAAGCTTCTAATGGAATTACTGTTTTGGAATGCCCCAGCTAATCGAAAATCTAAATCTATAATACAGCACTGATTGTTGCTTGACTTCTAACATGTCTTTCTTTTAAAGCCTTGGCAAAAGAAGGTGGAAATGCTTCCCTGCTGCAGTTTCTGTAGATACGCTGGAAAGCTTTTGGTGCAGCTATTTGATGCCATAAATTAAGGTGCCTCAGGTTTTTCTGGCTGAGAAAGAAACAGCAGCCACTGGTAATATCTGTTGATGGAGCAGAGTAAATATGGGTATCATAAAGTGTTAAATCCAGGCTGGGTAGAGGTGGAAAAATCTACACCACATTGTTTTTTTCAGGGGTGTCAGCTTGTGCAATCCTCAATAGTTCTATTTTTTAAAATATTTTTAAAATATTTTATTAATATTAATTTTAGAATTTTACCAAATTCTTCAAAATAATCAAATTAAAAAAACAAAAACAAAATAATTTTAGAACTGCTTTAGGACACACAAGGGTACATAATACCCTTTTGCCTCATTAAAGCAGCTGCTTCTTTTTCAGTTTTTTCCACACTGGCTCTGTAAGCTGTGATGTACCCCTAAGCCACTTCAAGCAAAATAGTTGTGTCCATAAATGTGTTTAATCATCCAGGAGGAGCTTTTCAAGCAACCACACAGGACTGCTTTTAACAATTAAAAAAAAGTTTTATATACTTGTGGTGTTTTGAAACACCTCTTTTGAAGAATTTGCAAGACCTATTATTTTTGTAGGTTTACTGATAAGGAAATGCTGTTGGCAAAAATAGTGGGGTTCTGTATCTCAAGGGCTGGGCTTGGCTGCATTACTTTTCTTAGTCCTAAAAAGAAGAAAATAGTTTGGTTGGGGCACCAGGCTAGAAACCAGGAGATTGGGAATTCTAGTTCAAACTTGGGCACAAAGTCAGTCTCTCTCTCAGCCCTAGGAAGGAAGTAGTGGTAACTCACTGCTGAAAAATGAGACAGGATAGATAGATAGATAAATAGAGAGAAAAAGAGAGAGAGAGAGACAGAGAGACAGAGAGATAGAGACAGACCAACATACAGACATGAAAGATAGATAGAGAGAGAGACAGACAGAGACAGACTGACAGATAGACATGATAGATAGATAGATAGATAGATAGATAGATAGATAGATAGATAGATAGATAGATAGATAGATAACAAAATGAATGGGTAGGTTGAGACTGGTCCCCAATCACGTACACTCCTGAAATTTGCTAAAAAATCATTTGGAATGACTAGAGCATCTAAACACACAGAACCACGGTTAAATAAACAAACAGTTTTCATCCATGACCAAGTTTTCATGGTACTTTCTGCTTTACAGAAGATGTACATTGATACAGTTCTGAGATGCAATGAATGACTTTTATCAGCAGATGGCACTGTTGCCCTCTGAACTTAATTTGCTTTCTCTCTCTTGAGCCTCTGTCGCTTAGAGGAGAGTCAGATCCAGAAAAGCACAGTTGTTCACAAAGCAGAAACCCCACGAGTTAATTTATAATTCTAGAATTAAGCCATTCATTAGTGTGACCTTTAATAAAGTTTAGACTGAGGCTTAGTTCAATACCATCTCACTTCATCAGCGAACAGTGGAAAATTCATTTATTTTTTCCCTCTCTCCGTAACATCTTCCGTAAATTCCTGCCCGTAAATAGACAGCTTAGGAAAGTTGATTTCTTTCCGTGTTTGCTTGTTTTTTAAAAATGTCTGCGGGGCGTACAGGCTTCAGCTGCCTGAAGTTCCTGAAGATCTGGGAAGCTCTGCATTGCATTGCAGTTGGAAGGGGGGAAATGTAGGATTCTACAGTTTCTACAGAGCAGTGTGTGTGTGTGTGTGTGTGTGTGTGTGTGTGTGTGTAATTCTCCCGGTGATTGGCTCAAAGTGACCCAGCTGGCTTTTATGTGTGAGGCAGGACTAGAACTCACAATCTCCTAGTGATTGGCCCAAAGTCACCCAAGGAGGGTCTAGAGCAGAGGTTCCCAACCTTTTGGGCACCAGGGACCGGTTCCGTGGAGAGAGATTATTCTGCGGACCAGAGGGGGCGTGGTTTCATGTACTGCCTGCATCCCGTGGATGGGGCTTTGCTTGTTAGTGCGGCCCTGTTGCTGGCATGCTGTGGTCCAGTACCAGTCCGCAGACCAGGGGTTGGGGACCCCTGGTCTAGAGCCAGCAGTGTGCTGCAGCTGCCAAAAAAGCCAATACAGTGCTAGGCTGCATTAACAGAGCGATAGAATCAAGATCATGTGAAGTGTTAATACTACTTTGTAATGTCTTGGTAAGGCCACATTTGGAATACTGCATCCTATTTTGGTCACCACAGTGTAAAAAGAAGTTGAGACTCTAGAAAGAGTACAGAGAAGAGCAACAAAGATGATTAGGGGACTGGAGGCTAAAACATAAGGAACAGTTGCTGAAATTGGGTGTGTCTAGTTTAATGAAAAGAAGGACTAGGGGTGACATGATAGTAGTCTTCCAATATCTCAGGGGCTGCCTCAAAGAAGAGGGAATCAAGCTATTCTCCAAAGCACCTGAAGGCAGGACAAGAAGCAACAGATGTAAACTAATCAAGGAGAGAAGCAACCTGGAACTAAGGAGAAATTTCCTAATAGTTAGAACAATTAACCGGTGGAACAACCTGCCTCCAGAAGTTGTGAATGTTCCAACACTGGAAGTTTTTAAGAGACTGGAAAGCCATTTGTCTGAAATGGTGTAGGGTTTCCTGCCTGAGCAGAGGGCTGGATTAGATGACCTCCAAGGTCCCTTCCAACTTTATTGTTGTTGTTGTTGTTGTTATATTATACTCTCAGTCTTCCAGTTTCTAGCCTGGTGCCTCACCGACTAGAACAAACCAGCTCTCCAAAATTAGATGCAAGTGGGATGTTTTCACCAAGACTCTATTTCCAGGTTTGCCCATGAAAATGGACATGTGCAACATCAGAGCATACACTGGTATATTGATTTACCCTTTCTAAACATTTCTCACTGGCCCACCTGATTTTCCTGGCTAAGAGAAAAGAACCTTTGACCTCTCCTGCTATTGCTTATCAGCAGTTGCTAGACATATGCTCCCTCTGATCCCAGGGATGACATAAAATCAACAGCTATTTCCAAACATTGAATGTTTGATGGACCTTGTAGGGGTTTCCCGCCCCCCCTCAACTGTTTCCTGTTTAGCAAGAAGAAGGTAATGGAAACAGGGCCCAAAGACAAATACTGTTTCCACAATTTGTTGCTGAGGAAAGCATTGATTTTTCTCTT